TATTCCTTTCATGGTAACTTTGCCATCAACTTTGACTAGAAACTTGAAATAATCTAACGAGTATTGTACATCAATTTAGAGTATCAAGCTGCTGCAGCTTTTTTTTTTTTAAGTATGCTTTCATTGATTTTTAGAGAAAGGAGAGGGATACAGACATGTGGTAACATAATCAGAATCCTCCCACCCCCATTTTTATGCAGATTTTACTGGATAGCAATATTATAAGCTTTTTGATTCTTAAGGAGTTAAATCAAGGTGCTAATATAGCCTGGCTGGTGTGGCTCTATGGGTTGAGCATAGACCCATGGAACCAGGAGGTCCCTGGCTCAATTCCCAGTCAGGACACATGCCTAAGTTGTGGGCTCAATCCGCAGTAGGGGGGAGGCAACCAAATGATGTCTCTGTCATTGGTGCTTCTATCTCTCTATCCCTTTACCTTCCCCCTCTCTCTAAAATCAATAAAAACATTTTTTAAAAGGCAAGATAATTTGTTTAGTTATATAAGAAGTCTTTTTCTGTGACATCTGATTAGATAACAGGTGGATGGGGAGGGATATATCATATTTTTTAAGTGTTGTCTTATTTTCTCTCGTTGCAGTAAATTTGCCATTTAATAGAACACTTGCAATATAATTTCAGAGTAGAAAGACATCTTTTTATTTCAAGCCCTTTATTTTTAATAGGTTAAGAAATATGTCCTACCCAGCCTATACATGGTCTTGTGCTGTGGACTAAAATGTGGATTTTTATATGATACATTATCATTATTACTGAGGTTATGTGTCTGATTAAGTGCCAACTTAGAATTGTTTCACTATACATACTGGACTTTTCAGTTTATCTGGCTCTAATTTATTACAGAGGACATTTACAAGCCATGTAATTCACATACACCTTTATTTATAGAACAATATGATGCATTTGTGAAGTTTACGCATGATCAAATAATGCGACGATATGGAGAACAGCCTGCTAGTTGTAAGTATTGCATATATGAACTGAAAACAAGACAATCTTTTAAGAAGACATTTATTATAATTATCTTCATACTTAAGAAGAGAATTAAACAGGAAACGGTGGAAAAACCCTGGTGGAAATAGGACATTTTACTAAGGCTTATTTTTTATTATTTAAGTATGTAGGGCAGTGATTTTTTTAACCAGTGTGCTGAAAGAATTTTTATAACATGGAATACCTGACTAGTCAGGGGCACTGACCTTTCCCCTTAGATTGTCAGATAAAATAATTACAGCAGCCATTGGTGTGAATGAATCAAAATTATACCTTTTTTGTCTGATGGGCAAAAATATATTTTTTGGTCTGCTGCAGAATTTTAGTAATTAGTTTATGTGTGCCATGAGATGAAAATGGTTGAAAATTGCTGACCTGGAGCAATATTGGGAATAGAGACCTGGTATATGTTTGAATTTTGAATTGGACTTTGCACTAATTTTCCTTTTCTCCCCCTTTAGATGTTTCATGAATCACATTTTCTGCATCTGTGGGCTGCCTTGTTCCTTGTTGAATTGTTGCAAGAGGTCCCAATTATGACATGCAGCAATGCAAATACCCCCCTGTGAATACAGGTTATTTCAAGCTTTCGTCAGTGACAATTACTCTTAGGCAGCAACTGGTTTTGGAAATTTCCCTGATGTCAGTACCACCTGGATATGGACCTTTGCTACCTGTATTAATACCAGTGGTCTCACTTGCTGTATCATTACAATTTGGCTTCTTATATTAATATGTTTGAAAGGATTAGTGCTGGTATTCTAAGAACATGCCCTTCACTGGTTATGTAAATAAAACTGTAGAATGACACTTCAGATGAAGTTAGTGTGATTTTAATTGTGCACTACAACCAAGCTGTAACCAGTTATTAATAATTTAGAATGTAATCCCAGGACATTATTAAGCAAATAGCCTACAGTGCTTCCTGTGAAATAGTGAAGGAGAAGGGCATTTCTTCTCGGGGTTTCAAAATGGATTTATATGATTTTCTCTCTTTTTTTTTTTTGGTAGTTTTTATTTATTCTATCAGTCTTTTTAACAAATGTTTATTGCTGCATTTCCCCCGCCCCCAGTGTATCATTGTTTTACTGCCCTTGTAGTACTGGAATTTAGTTGGAAGAATAAAACCTTTACTTCTAATCTGCTTGTTTTTTAATGTACAGATGGGTAGTATTTGAATAAAGGCAATGTTTTAAATGTAAGCATTTTCCAGGAACCAATCAATTTAATCTGACTTAACAGATAAGACTTAAATATCAGTATTTTCATTGACCAAATCTAAGATTGGAGTGCTATTTTCAAAAGCTGAGTCTGATTCCAAATCGCTTATAACTGACTGCATGATAGAATGTTACATGATTGATCAGTTTTAATAGCTTTGGAAGTTTTACTTCAAAAGCACATTTAAGTCACTTTCAACAAAGCTTTCCTATAATGAAATGAATGGAAATGCTTCAGTGAGTTCTTTTGTGAATTCTATTAGCATATCCTAGTCATAAATGGCCTAGGAGATATTTTATATATACACTAGAGACCTGGTGCATGAAATTTCGTGCACTGGTGGGGGGACGTCCCTCAGCCCAGCCTGCGCCCTTTTGCAGTCCAGGACCCCTTGCTCCTTACCGCCTGCACGGGAGAGGCTCCCCCCAACCGCCACTCATTAGTCCTGAGCCCCACTTCTGGCTGAGCAGCGCTCCCCCTGTGGAAGTGCACTGACCACCAGGAGACAGCTCCTGCATTGAGCATCTGCCCCGTGGTGGTCAGTGCACGTCATAGTGACCTCCATTCGTTTGATTTGCGTATTAGGGTTTTATTATATAGGATTAGAGGCCTGATGCACGAAGATGCAAGAATAGGCCTTCCTTCCCTGGCTGCCGGCACCAGCTTCCCTCTGGCACCTGGGACCCGGGCCTTAGCTCTGACCGCTGCCTCCCGCCTTCGCTCCAGGCTGGAGCCAGCTCTGTGGCTGCCACCCAGAGGCCGGCTCTCGGTGGCCAGCCGGGGCTTACAGGAAGCCAAGTGTCCCCCCCACTCCGGCCAGCTACTTGGCTCCAGCCAGTGCCACCATCTTTGTGGCCATGGGTGCCACCATGGAGTGACAGTTAATTTGCATATTACTCTTACTAATATAGATAAAATTTATATATAACCTAATTTGGCAGAGAAAGCAAAATGTTTATTTTTCCTTTATAAAAACTTTAGTGATTATGTTTTACCAATTCTTTGTTTAAAACAAGGCCAAAATGAGGTATAGAACTTGCACAAGATCTCTAGGTAATTCATATGCCCATTAAATGTTTGAGAAACACTGGTATAACACAAGGTGCCATCAATAAGGGGTGGGGGGGGGCGGATTCTATCTGGTTTTAATGGACTAATACAGATTCTCAATTGCAACACATCAATTTGAGCCAGATGATTCTCTTTCTTTGCGGGGTTATCCTGTGTAGTATAGGACATTTAGCAGCATCTCCGGCCTCTCCCACTAGATAACAGTAGAATTCTCCCTCAAATCCCCTGTTGTGACAATCAAAATGTACCTCCAGATACTGCCAAGTGCTGGGTGTAGGGGGAGGAGACAGTCCCCAGCTGAGAACCAATGATATAGTGGGATAGCATTTTTAGGAGAATGCAAGTAGGAAGTTAAGTTCTGGAGTGACTATGAATATATTTTATCAGAATAATGAATTAATGTTCTTTTTAGTATGTAAGTTTTCACATAGTATTAAATATAAAACTGGATTTTTTAATTAAATTTATTGGAGTGACAACTTTTTTTTTTGCATCACAATATTAACTGGAGAATTAGGAAAGATCCCATGTTCTAAACCCAGAGACTGCTTTAGAAGATGAGGGAAGGGAGGACTGTTAGAATCTGTTTAATATGTTCCCTAGGTGGAAGTGATTATTATTTGGGTTATCTACTCCCTTCAAAAATTATACAGTAATTGGTATTAATAAATGAATATTCAGCTAAAGCACCTAATAACCTGTCCCTATCTACTCAGACATGGCTCCAAAAATTGTTCCTACGTTCTAGGTAAAAACTAGATCCAAAATCCTCTCATTAAAAGACCAGTCTAGCAGTCCTCTCTCCTGCATCTGTTTTCTTTCTCCTAGATCAGGGGTCCTAAAACTACGGCCCGCGGGCCACATGCAAATACAAATATTGTATTTGTTCCCGTTTTTTGTTTTTTTTTTAAATATATTTTATTGATTTTTTACAGAGAGGAAGGGAGAGAGATAGAGAGTTAGAAACATCGATGAGAGAGAAACATCGATCAGCTGCCTCCTGCACATCTCCCACTGGGGATGTGCCCGCAACCCAGGTACATGCCCTTGACCGGAATCGAACCTGGGACCTTTCAGTCCGCAGGCCGACGCTCTATCCACTGAGCCAAACCGGTTTCGGCCCATTTTGTTTTTTTACTTCAAAATAAGATATGTGCACTGTGCATAGGAATTTGTTCATAGGTTTTTTTTAAACTATAGTCCGGCCCTCCAACGGTCTGAGGGACAGTGAACTGGCCCCCTGTTTAAAAAGTTTGAGGACCCCTGACCTAGATCATTCCCATAAGCATAATAAACATGCCATTAGAAATCTTTTAATCCTGTAATCCCCCTCTAGCTCTATTACCCTATTTTTCTAAACTCAAGAATTTTCTTCATTCCCACTTTTTTATTCAGAGAACATTCAAGCTGAAAACAGTCAATAAATACATTTAAAGTGAACAGTTACTTTACCATATTTGTTTATATGTTTATATTTAATTATTTCAAAGAACATACATAGTGCAGCTTCTAAGAATAAGGTAGTCCTATATAACTAGAAACTATTATCTCACTTAAAATAATACTTCCCTAATTTAATTAACATCCAGTCCATACTCAGATTTTCCCATGTCTCCAAAATGTCTTGGAGTAGGAATGAGTACTATTAAATCAACCGCAAATACTTTACACTCCTGAATAATGTTATTACATTTACATACTATGTTCAAGAACATTTTATTAATATGAAAATTAGTGATAATGTGAGAAAGGTTTCAGTTACAATGTAAGCCTGTTACTGGATTCCAAAGTATGCCGAAAGTGTTTGGATATAGTCCTGTTTGGGATTAACAGTCTACTTTCTGGTTAAACATCATGTGGGGATTATACATTTGTCCTCTAGTGGTATGTAAGTATGACTGGTCTCTCTCTTCTCTCAAACTAAATGTGATCCTTGCGGCTTCATTCATTTGCTTTCTTAGCAGCCTCCCCATGTTAGCCTTGCCACGTGGTCAGTCTTCTGTTTGGTAGGTTTTACAAATCCTAGAAGTTCTAGTTCAGAAACAGCTCTAATGAACCGAGCACTGGAAGATATAGTTAAGGAAATTGGCCATGTTGTATTTTGACAAGAGGTTAAAATATCAATGTTAAAACATTAGTAAACGGAAATATAGTTCAAAATATACTCCTAAATTAAACAACCCTTAAGGGAAACCATTAAATGCAATTAGAATCCAGTAATAAGATATGAGTGGAAAGTGCTTAATATTTACCTAATTTTTTCCATAGTATGAAAACTCCTGAAAGTACATTAATAACCTTATAAAAATAGAGAATTCAATAATGACAGTTTTGGATATTTTCGGTGAATTTTGGAATATGATCTTGCTATAAGTTTTAAACCAAGTATTTTATATTTGGCCTCATTTTACATTAAAGTTTGAATTAAATATTTAGAAACATTCTGGGATGGAATGGTTAATATCAATAAGGTTGGTTGCATCACATCTTTATAAATCTCAAATGTAGATCTTAGAAAATTATAAACATTCTATACATAAACTTGGACATTGCAGAGTGGTTTTAAAAGGATACTGAATAATGTCATTCCTTTCTTCTGAGGTTATAGAATTGGCATCTGTTTTTTCAGCAGCTGTCACAACTGTTGCAAAAGCCTTTTGAGAGAGAAGACAGAAGAAAATAAAAATCTCTACTGTTGCCAAACATTTTTAATTGCCCTTGATGGCTCTATATGAAGCCAGGTCAAGCACTGCCGCTGCTAACTGGCACATTTTTAACAATTACATCAAGTTTCAGATTCTCAAAACTATATTGATATTCACTTTAAATCAAATACACATTAAAAGATAATAGAGTTGTTCCTGCATAATGTTATTTCAGAGAAGAAATGTGCAGAGAAAAATTACTAGTCAAAGTTGAAAAGCAAAGGATGTACTGAATCCTCTACTCCCAACCTCCATTACCCCAGCAAAATGCCTGTTTTCCTTGGAAGCAGCCAATTATTTTTAAGCGGTGACAACAGATCTGTAAAATAAGGCCTTCAACAGTTAACTTTGTAATATTCTGAGGAGGGAAAGAATCATTACTTAAAATAAGAACAACAGTTGTCCATGGCCTTGCCAACTATTCCTTGTGCTTCCTGATTGCTAGTGTAATTATTCTAATGTGGGGATTTTTTTTTGTTTATGCTATAAGAGAAATGGTAGTTAATATACTTTTATTTTGTGGAATAACAAAACTGATCTAAACTGCTCAGCTTCTGCTTACTGTTATCTTGGATTTGATCCCATGAATGCACCATTGGCTTGGATCAGAGTGCAGGGGATTGGGAGTGGGGCTGTTGAACAGTAAGCTGCTATTTTGGAGAAATTTCTGAAGCATGAGGTGATTTATGCTTTCCAAAAAAGACATTAAGAAAAACACCCCAGGAAAGTGTCATGGATAGTGTACAAATACACAGTTTGCTCCTCTCCCTCCACTTACCTCTGACCAGTCCACAAGGTTGATTAGCCTGCTGCACTCGAGGTGCAGTTTATATGCTATGCAGATGTCTGGGGCGACATTTGGAATGCAGCCTTCTTCACTTTTCAGTGCTTCATTCTAAAAATAACAGTAAACTAAGATGATTACCTTTCAGAAATGATTAGGTACAAAATCAGACAATAAAACCCCTGACCTAAATTTAGTAAATCAGTTAGTGGAATATAATTTCCTTTATTTAGTGAGTTGCATTTACTCTCCAACAGTTAACTGCTTGTTTAGGATTAAGTCTTGGTCATAATCCTGGTCACTAAAGAATACTCCCAGGATCAGAAGACAAGCATATTTTTCATTTTATTCTTTTTTTTTTCATTTTAATAATACATTACTAATTTCTGAGACCCTAATGCATTTCTGGTTTCTATAAAAAGTTTTGGAATTCTTTGTGGATTTTCAACACAATGCTACTTCCAACATTTGAAATTACTTGGATTCTAGCAATTACTATACTGTACTAATACCAACACACTACTATCATGTCTATAATTCCAAAGGCTTATCAACACTGCAGATCCTAACCCTTACAAAAATCATGAGTGTTTTTCGATTTATTTGAAATCCATGGTTCTTACTTAGAAACAAAATCTTTCTCACACATTCACTTACACATGGAATTTATAATATACTAGAGGCCCGGTGCATGAGATTCATGCCCTAGCGTCTGCCCCCTGGTGTTCAGTGCATGTCATAGTAACAGGTCCTTCTGCTGTTTGGTCGATTTGCATAGTATGCTTTTATTATATAGGAAGGATAGTCCCAAAGACTGCTAAAATCACACCAGTTCTTTTCTGTGACCTACCACTAGCAAGAATTATTTTGTAAGAGACTTAATGTGTGCTTTATATAATAAAAATGACTTGATATTTTGTGCTGTGAATATGAAATTACTCAAGCTCCCCCACTACCCACCATCACTGAAGACCACTGATTTATATCTTCCCACTCAAGATTTCTCTTGTAATGCTTAGCATGCCTGTGTGCCATTTTGGAACAGGAAACTAGTACATTAGAATACTTCATAGGTTTCATGGAGTCACTTCTTAGGTGTCCTTTGTGTTAAGATTTCTACATGGTAAACTGAGTTGACAACTTAGTAACTAATAAATTAACTTAATATTAACTTATTAAAAAACTGTCAACAAACCTTTTAATATATGTATATAACTTACTGCAATATAGCTTACTAAAATGTTTAAAGTGACCACTTTACCTCGCTAAAGAAAGTTGATTTTTAAGATCCTGATTTGTCTTGTACTCTCAGTATAAACAACTTCGTAGAACTATCAAATGTGTCTGGTTTTAGGAGTCTATCCCTGGCAGATTCCGGCCATCTGGAGATGCTCTCTCAGAATAGATCTTTCCTTGGTTTAAAATTCAAGATGAAATCCCAGAGCATTTCTAAGTAATTTTAGTAGGCCATATAGTTTGAGCCATTATTTCGCTGTTATTGTAGGAAACATTTCTTTTATTTCACAAGAGTAGTAGCATTTTACTCAAGTTTTAGTATCTATCTTCTGATTTTATCACACGAAGGGGAAGACATTTACAATGATCCAATGTTGGCAGCATTAGTTGACTTGATTATTTTCACTGGCTTAGAAAACACCCTCCGAAGTCTAAAGGATTTTTAAAGGTATCTGACAGAGGTGCCAACTAACTGCCTGGTCACTAGGAACTGTAAATTTATGTTTTTGTGATAAATAATTCCTGGGGTCTGACCCAAACTGTCAGAGAGATGAATCTGCTCCTTACCTTGAGATAATAATAGGGGTTGTTGAGTGCAGTGTGGAGGGCCATGCGCGGAGCAGCATTGAGGTGCTCGTGAAGGGTGTGAGCAGCGGTGAAGTACACCACCTCGTGCAGAGGCTGTGTCTCCGGAGGCAGAAGGTATTCTCTGAAACAGCCCAAGTCAGCTATCAGCATTTAGATAAGCACAGGTTTAATTTCAATGTAACATTTTTGTGAATCTGAGGGAAGACTGAGCAATTTGCTTAATGGGCAAAATCAATAACCAAAAACAAACAAACCCAAATATCAAATTCAATGCAGGTTTACAAAGAATTGTACCTATTCCATTATTTTTTAAAACTTCCAGAACTCTTTAGAGCACAAGAAACTATATTTGTTCTGATTTAAACCTTTAAGAACAAATGCACATAAATTACATTTCTGCTATGAACCTTTAAAATACAATTTCTTAAAGTATTAAAGATATACTTTCTTAAATTGTTTAGAAAACCAAGATACCCACATTCCTGCCAGAGCAAACACTTAACTCTTGCAAATATTAAACAGGCCTTGTGCCTGGAATTAAGAGTTTACAAAATTCTTTTTGGATCACAGAAAGTGTTTTAACTGGTAACTCTCATAGAAATGGTACCTTGAAAGTTTTTTATGCTACAATTACTTTTTACTTTAGAAGGCAGAAAAGGCTAAATGATAGCTTCATGGTATTGAAAAACAAGCAAATTTAAAAAGTGTAACTTGGGATTCTTCTGAGCTAGATGATAAACATAATTAAATCTGAACTTAAAAAATAAAGCATTAAAAAATTCAGTTTGAGCCAATGTGGCTCAGTTAGTTGGAAAATTGTCCCATGCACCAAAATGTGGGTTTGTCCTTACATTGCAGTGTAAACAGGAGGCAACAAATAAATGTTTCTCTCTCACATTGATGTTTCTCTCCCTGTCCCTTCCTCTCTCTAAAATCATTTTTTTAAAATTCACTTTGAATGTATAATGAGCCCATCAGCTGGTCTCAACCATGATAGTGACATAGGTCTTTGGTAGCCTAGAGGGTAACAAATTGGAAGAAGCTTTGGCATACACTACCCAAAGACAGAGTAATAAGTCACTAATTCAGTGAACTCACATGCCTTCAGAAAGATTCCTGGGGCTTAGTCCGGTCCTAGCCTTAAAGTATTTTGGCCACATGACAGACTGTAACAGCTCCTTTTCCCATGTGTGCAAGCAGTGCATTTACCTCAGCCCAGTTACCAGGGAAATCACCCTCTTCTTCCTGGAGTCCTGGCTTTCTCCCTCTTGCAGAGGATACCATCCCCCAGAAAATCCCACTATTCCTGCTCACCAGCGTGTCAGTGGAGGAAGAGAAAGTGAGGAGGGTATTAACCATACACATCACTCCCCAGTATCTCCTTCCTCCCTGTCTCAAGAGCTCCTGGCCCCCAGCTCAGTCCACTTATGTAGACATCTGCAGTCAATCAGAATAAAAGCCAATTGCAAAAAGTATGACCTAAGGACCAGCATTCTGTACCTCAAGTACTGCTAACACCTTACTCAAGATTAAGTTAATTTAGCTATAGCCGCAGGAATGGTTTCTCTGATGCTGAATGCCACCCTGGATGGCTGGTTACTCATTTATAATTTCTGACCATAAACTTCCTACACCAACCTCAGGCTGTTTCTCCCCAATCATTAAAGACTCTATTGACGTCCCTGCTATGTAATAAGGACTGGAAGTTTAACAAGGCAACCAGATAGTCAATTTCAGAAAAAATTATTGTCTCACATTTGTAATCCTCTCCCTTTTCAGTATCTTTATATTTAATGTTTAGAATTCCTTAGGGAAAAAGTCTTTTTTAATATCCTCAAAGTATCTCCATCAGAGGTAATATATTTGCCTATATTTTGTTTCCACTGGGCTACATTAAGGGAACAACAACTATAAACCTGGAGATGGGCACAGAAACATTCTTCTGCAACTTATTTGCTGTGAGAAGAAATATGCAATTAGTCGGACACTACAGCATCTACCATGCTCATTTTGGATTCAGATCAGACAGGTGTTTTTAGGGAACTGGTAGAACCACTTAGTATCAAGGGCTAAAAAGTTGAAGCTTGTATTTTGGTGAAAACCGTTAACTTAGTCTCTGCTCTCAGTCGTCTCAATAAGGCTCATGGTACATTGGGAACCCTGCCTTTTGGAGTCTATTGCTTATGTTTATCTTTTTTCCCCCAAGCAGTATGTTTAACTGGATAATTTCCACAAACTATATATGAAGTTTCTAACTATCACAATTCAGTGAAGTACAAAACATTAAGTAACAGACTGTGGAAAAAGAAGGCAGCACCAATGGTAGCACCTTCCAATCTTGGTTGGCCTAGGGGTAGGGGGTGTGGACGGTTTCTTTTTAAACAGAGCCTCTCATTTCAATGTACAAAAGAATTACTACTGATATAAAATTGAATTGCAAACAAAAGTAGACTAAAAAGCAAATACTACTCTACTTTGGGGTGGAAATGGGAGGAAAGAATGAGTCTTTCGGAGTAGGAAGGGAGAGTTGGGGGAAGGTGATGTTGCTGTGACCCCCGGTGGCCACTCAACAAGGCTGCACTTTCACTTTCGGTGGTTTCAGGAAGGTCCGATTTTTCTTTTCTTCCCCTTGGTATTTGCTTCCAAGTTTGCCAAATGGCCACAAGGCCGTCTTGACTTTCCTCAAACTTTTTCTAGCCACTCCCTCTCCCATTTAGCTTTTTAACTTAAATCTCTTCCTTTGTCACTTCCTTTCAAGCATCTCTTTGGCTTCTCTCTCCCTTTTAATTTCCAGCTCAGCAAAGTTTCACGGTCTGTTTGTATATCACTTGTCTGAACAGCTCTAGATCACCTTCCTCCAGAACTCCAAGCTCTTCTCGAACAACTGTAATGTGCTGATCCTTGGCAACAGCATGGAGAAATGAAGAGGGCCTTTTGACAGATGTCATCATACGGGGCCTGGGACTTTCCACAGTCAGCCTCTCGCTGGGCTTTAGCTGCCACATGACTTCTCGGGTCCCTTTTAGCTCTAATATGCTACGAATCCTAATCTCTTTCCTCCTGGGAGAGTCAATCTTAGTAAAGAAAGTCAACCCTAGTAAGGAAAATTTTGTGATTTCACAACATATTTCAATCATGTTCAGTTTTATTTTAGTAACTACTCAGAAAGGTAAAAGGTCAGACATATTAGGTCAAAGATCACAAATGGGAAATGGTTGTCTGGTTTCAGAGCCTACAATTTGGGATTAGTTAGAACTACAAAAGGAACCTGACATTCGGCTTAGAAATTATGCTACAATTCATTGCAAAATTATTTTTAGCAACTGCAATGGTACAACCTGGTAAAAGGGAAGATCCAGGAACCTGGGTCAGGAAACTATAGGAACAGGGAAGCCAGCAGGGCAAGATTAACTCTACGAGTTCTATAAGGTCATTTCTGGTTTGTAGGTCAGTTCAACATTGCATTGCATCACTTTTATATGACACATTTCTCTCAGTGTAAAATGCCTTTGTCATACTTGGTTGGTCATTTGGACCTCTTTCATGACATTAGTAATTTCTCCCCAATGACTAGGAACAATGACTCTGCCCCCACATTGTCCTGGAAAATGGAACTTTTCACTTTCAAGAAGGTCAGGTAATTTATCAGAAAACCACTTTTTGTCTTCAATAACAGCTGCTATATTTGTAGTACTTGATTCTATTCAGTGTCTAGCTGGCTGTTGAGTTAGACTGCCATTAAAATATAATCAGCAATGATAAATAACAGTTTGTTTTCCTACTCTTTAACTATTAAGTCATTTTCTTTTTCTCACTTGCCTTGTTTTTCTATAGCAATGATCTGGGTTTCCCAAAAGGGAATCATCTTTAAAAAACAAGCAAGACTGGTAGACTTCTAAGTTTGCTATGAGTACATTTCTCAACATGAATTTAGTGCTGATAATGATCGCACAGGTATTCTCTAGAATTATAAGTCCTTTCTTTACTCGGGATAAAATAGGACATTACGGCTAGTCTGCTCTGGGGCTTGGCCCAGGTCCAGCATACTCTTAGCAGAGATAGAGAAAGAACAAAGTGCAATAATCTGAACAATAAAGATTTAATTTTAAAAAAAGAATAAAGTGCAATGCAAACACTGTGTTATTAGAGAGGGCAAAAACGCTTTCTGTTTTCATCACCACCCCTCGTATCCCAGCCTAATGAACTAGATCAAATTTAAACCTGTACTTTTGAACTAGCTGTAAAAGAATGCACTAAGTCATTTTGTTTACACATCTTCATAAGGATGGAAAGACGATCAAAATTACAATTCTAAGCTGGAAGGAGGAACCTGAAAAGCATAAAGCCTAATCTAGGGGGAAGTGTCCCAAAATGGGTATGGATGCTATCACATCAGTGCTATTTGGGAAAATAGCCAGATTTTTAGCGCTTAAGAGCAACCACTCACCTCACCAGACAGTCAATGAAGTTCACAACTTTTTCTCTCAGGACTTCAAACTTGGTTTGTTTCTTTCCTGTTCTTCTTAACTCCTTCATTTCCAATAGTGACTGTGGATGGAAAGAACATAGCTTTTCTGGTGATTTGGAGAAAGAAAACCCCTCAGAGGCAGCTGATGCCCTTTGCCTAAGACAGAATATGCAAGAAAGAATCAGATCAAAATGGGTTCTTTTTTATTTTTAAGGTCTGGAAAGAATCTCTCCTCCTAGTGTTTTGCTCCAAACATTGAGTAAATTTTCAGGGAAAGAGGAAAAGGGCAGTTAACTTCGTTACTAAGTTATATGGCAGAGTGCTCACTATCCACAACTCATTACTTCATTTAAGTAAAGGACTTACAAGGAAAAGAAAAACCTTGCCCTTTTGCCACACTAACAGAATAGATTTCCATGTGGTTTGCTTTTGCTTAGATTGAAATTTTATTCTACATTTATCATAACTTGGTATCATGCTATACAAAGAAGGTTCTATACTCTGACGACCAAGATTCTAAAGTTAGAACTACCTGAAAAAGATTACAATGGGTATACTGTAGTTCAATTTCTGCTCTACATGACTATACATTTAAAAAATCAACAAAAGTATCTAAAACTAATGAGGTAGGCTCAACAGAAATACCAACAAATACATCAGATAAATAATTGGGTTCTTTTTTGCAACTATGTTCCCATTTTCCCTATTGCCAGTTAATTTTCTCTCTCTCTGAGGCTACAGGAACAGTTTCCACCTATGTTCACTAGTAAATTCCAGACTGTGTACATGGAGAATGAGGCTGGCAGTGAGATAAATAGGATGTTTCATTTATAAGTAAATTACAAAATCTGCTTTGTTTCTGGGTGTGATTTTAAAAGGAAAATAGAAATATCCAGGCAGAGCTAATCTAGAGTACATACTGGAAAAAAGGGAGTATCACAGGGTGTCACTGGAAGGAGAAGTGACCTGACCTTCTGAAGATGATAGAGGTCTGTCTTCTGAAGCCCCTTTGACTGTGACCCAGAAGCATCTTCTTCCTCTTTGACTTCTGCTTTTAATACAAAACCAATATACAGCAACTGGGATAAATCCATTCAAGTCAGGAGAACCAACATTTCTACTATGCCAAGAGAAATACAGTTACATCTGGCAGGGGACCAAGGGTCCATCAGATAAATTATTTCTTCCAGAAGCTAAAGGTCAATAAATATTACATAACTTATGCTGCAGAGGGGTCTTGAAAAAACCAGCTACTGAATTTTTAAAATGTGACCACAATGAAAACAAAGTACAAACAAATACCCTCCTCCAAAAAAACCAACAGCAAAAAGCGCCAAGTCTTTGTGCTGTTATAAATAGCTTCTAAAAAACAAATTTAAACTGTATTCCTTTGACTATGCCGATGATCAACAACATAAACCCACACACTGGCAAGTTTGGCCCTGATGTTCCAATGTACTATTTTTGACAAAATGCTATTAAAGTAATAAAGAGGGTGTGTAAAAGTTTTGACATAATCTACTAAAACACAAAGTGCACCTTTGCTCTTCAGCATAGGCCACAGTAAACCACATCTCAGACTTGTAAAATGAAACTGCATTATATATGCAGTTTCATTTTACAAATATCTGAGTCCAATTTTGGTGCGGTTTTTTTTGTTTGTTTTTATATTTTTATTGATTTCAGAGAAGAAGGGAAAGGGAGAGAGACAGAACATCAATGATGAAAGGAAATCATTGATCGGCTGCCTCCTGCACGCCCCCTACTGGGGACCAAGCCAGCAACCTGGGCATGTGCCCTTGACCAGAATCAAACCCGGGACCTTTCAGTCTGCAGGCCTACACTCTCTCCACTGAGCCAAACCAGGTAGGGCTGAGTCCAATTTTGTAAAAGATGGAAATTTACCTAATTTATGTTAAATACTCCTAAGTCTTTTACCCTATTTATGTCCTTAAAGTGGACCTTCACTGTCCCAGTGACCATAATTAGGGGGCATTTAAAGTGTGAATCGGTGAGAAAAGAACAATGAGCTGGTGATTAAGAGAGGTAGGTACTGGTCTGGGTGCTAGCTGGCTGTGGGATTTTGAGCAAGTTCCTTTCTCCTCTGAGCTTTAGATTCTGTATGTAGCTGGACTCAATGATCTCCACAATTACCAATTACAGCCCTTTTGAAACATGGTTAGGCTCATGCCCACCCACAACCTGGAGGGAACCCACCCCTTAGTCTTGTGGGGTACTTCCTCCTTTTGCCTGTTCCTGCCACTTGCTCTTTCACCTTCCATTAACTAAGCATTCCTCCGGTGCCTAACACTGCAGCAGGGAGACGAGACGGGGAGGGGTATCAGCAAAAGTGGTTTCCTAAATCCAAAGGCTTTACAAGACAAAGGAACACTTGCCAAACAGGAAGGATTGCTATGGCATTACAAGTAAAATATTTCCACTAATCCATGTCCAATCTATGTGCTTATACATTATCCACCAAGCTGTCTCTTTCGCCCAAGCTCCATTAAAATTTTCCTGAATAGGGGAAATGCTTTACCAAAAGAATTCCATACTTTGGCTTAGAGAGAGAGCAGAAGAGCCCATGAGAGTTAATGATCAGTACCAATCTGTGGTGCCCACAAGAACAAGAAGTCCTGGAGCGTGAGAGAACAGAACATGGCTACTTGTACACAACCAGGCACCCCAGCATCTGGCAAATATAACTATGGTCACATGGGGGCCATGAAAATAAGGGAACTGGTAACCCTTCAACACAGAGAAATGGCAGGCTGCCTCAGTTCACTTTCACTGAAGGATTCAGGCTCTTGTAAGTCTGATTAAAGCAGACCTCATGCACTGGTAATCAGCACACCAATGAGCCTCACTGCTGTGAAAGCAGTTGAGAACTATTAATTTTTCAGGCTTACTAATGACTTATGCAGTGTTTTTGAAATCTATAAAGGACCTGATGGAATGCTTAAGAAAAAAAATCTAAAAGGAGTCCTTAATTACGATGCCCTGCTAATCTCATCAATCTTAATATTTTTGTCCCTCCCCCACCTTTTTTTTAAAGGTAAGTCCTCCAAATTATCCATCTGCACAAAGAATGTTTCTATTTTTCGCCCATTTGATGTTTTTCATTGCTTAAACCAAAGCTGGAAGATAACCATTTGACCTGTTTGTAATTATCAATATGTAATATTCTGAGGCTTGGTATACTGACTGATCATGAACGACTTTATGCCTTCATCTCTCAATACATCTGAACATGGGGTTTTCCATGTCATTTTAGTTACATGACTTTCATAGCCAGTAAAATTGGCAGGATATCATCTTCTCACCATCCAGGCTCTGAAGCTGGGCCAGGAGCTCCTCTATCCTCTTTTCTGTGCTGCCAAGATGCTTTTCAGAAGAGGACTTTAAAACGCTGAAACACTTCTGAAGGATGGTCATCAGTTCATCCTTTGCCAACATTCTAGAAGAGAATCAGTGACAGGAGATGTAATCTAACTGGAACATTAATGAGGTTAAAAAATATTATCTACATATGAAATGATTCTGATCAGAAGAAGATGGTATAAATTCTTCATTAGTAGCTACCAACATTTGTTGGAGAGATTTTCCTCAATATGTATGACATTCAGAAGTATTCAGAAGAGTTCTCATGATGAAGCTCAGCTTAGAAAGCTTACAAACATTGGGTTCAAAGTCTGGCTCTGGCACATACCATGTCTGCAATATAGAACAAATTACCAAACACCCCTGATCCTTGGTTTCCCTGTCTGTAAAATGAAACAGGGACTCACCTATTTCACAGCTTAGAATGGAGGCTTAAAAACTAATGAGAAGATGTATTTGAAGAATCTAACACAGTGCTTACCATACAGTAGGCATTGAAGGTTTCCCTTCACTGCAGATATAAATGTAAATATGAGACAAGAAATGTTTGCTGAGGAAATAACACTTATGCTAAAAGAAAGCTTGCTTGGAAGGACCAGAAGAGTATCACAATAATTTCTCTAATTACTATTTTAGCTAGCTTTATATCTTTTATGGGCATTATAAACATCAGTCAGGAAATCCACTTAATTTTAAGTAACATGGGAAATTCTGCTTGTTTTGTAACAAGCAGAAGAGTTGTGTAACTCATTTAAGGCCATATTGGAGATCTTTGTTAGAAATGGAGACAGAACACAGATATTCTCAAATTAAGATCCTGTTCTCAGAGCCATTACTTATAGGATCTCTCCACTAAGCTCATATTCAGTAACAGAATGAAATGGAATCAGGTTAATATTAGTAATGTTAAGCGCTATGACATAAGTATACAAGTTATTCTCAGCAAACAGTCCTAAATTATGAAGACTACAATGATTAAAACTTCTTATATTAATCATGAAGAAACAATCAGACAAATCCAGAACGTATGCTATTCTGCAAGATAATTCTCTTATGTTTGACAATTTTCATAATAAAAAATGGGGAAAAATACTAATATTACTAAGTTAGGGGGAAAATACAAATCTAACTAGATTATGACTACTGAAAAAAATTAACCTGGTTACTTCAACTAAAATTTAAATGCAGACTGAAAAACAAAAAACATCATCAACCAAACCAATAATATAGAAACTGGTAGGGGTGGACAAAAGGCAAACTTTTCCCGATTTTAAGAAGACATGTAAAATCTTCTCTTCTGCCCTGGTGAGTGTAGCTCAGTTGGTAGGAGCATCCTCCCATCCACCGAAGAGTCTAGGGTTCGATTCCTGGCCAGGGCACACACCTGGGTTTTGGATTACATCCCCCCAATTTGGGGTGCGTACAGGAAGCAACCAATTTATGTTTCTCTCTTTCTCTCCCCCACATCCCTCTAAAAATCAATGAAAATATATCCTCAGGTGAGGTTTAAAAAAAAAAAAGTGATGAACTATGTTAAATGCCGATAATAGTTTAAAAATACAAATGCACACGGAGAACAGACCATTACATTTAGGTACAAGAAGGTCACTGTTGACCTTGATCAAGGTAGTTGTGCAAAAAAACAAGTAAGTTAGAGAGAGAATGGGAGGAGAGGAATTGAAGATAGTGTGATAATGCTTTCGAATTTTGGTGAATTCCATCCAGCACATTGCTTTCAAAGAAATAGAATAAAACTAAAAGAAAATATTTGAATTTAAAAGTATAAAAGCCATCATACTAGATTACTTTGAAGAGAAAGAAAAAAACACATCTAGAATAGATCATATTAATGTGGAAAATGAGCTATTTATCTTTAACCAACTTGATTAAGTGATTATATCACCATCAAGTAAATGGTTCCAAAAAGGCTTGTGGTACTTACTGTGTTAAAAGTTTTATAGGTTGCCATAAAAAATGTTTCCTTAACTGAGACAGAAAGAGAATCCTTTAGCAATCATTAAAAGCAATCATCCTGCAGGGCAATGGAGTGTTCTGCTTCATTGTGCAGAATAATTTCTGGTTAAGTACTGATTATATAAACGTCTGATTGAGAACAGACTATAAGGAGAAACTAGTCAATCCACGGCTAATGCAAAGATCTGAATAATGAGCTCGCAGGTTTTCAACACACCATTATAAAACTGCTTTGAAAAATATTCAAAAACGTAAACCTGAAAATATATCAATGAAGAAGAAAAAATAAAAATGCTTCCAAAAAAAACAACTACAAACATTCAGAGATTATCTTCTTCAAAGACAACACAACAAAGCAATTGTATATGATCATGACAAGTGAAATAAAAATATGCATAATTCCTCCTAAGCCTTGATATTTCATCTTAGATGCCACTTCTCCAAGAAACTGCTCAACCTCCAAATGAAAGTTAACTGTACAGTCTATTAGTTCCTCAGCACACGAAACCTCACCCATCACAGCCCTTATTACTCTGTATTTAATTGCCTATCTACTTGTCTACCTTAATCTCTCACTTGGGCAAAATTCATTGTAGGTAAAAACAAGGGTCATCTTTGCCATCAGAGGCTCAACATATCGAGCCCAAAAAACTACAAAAGTATAATGCTAAATTCACAAGAAAAAATAAGTTGTCAAACTAAGTTTGATTAGCTATTTCTCCATTTTATTTCTTAGCTGCCTATTCATTTTACTAGCAGAAAAGTAGTAGTGGGCATTCACTTTAATAAAAAAAAAAAATAAAAATTCAGATTATTTTTTCTGTTTATTGATATAAAAAAACCATGGCTCACTATTAGCAATTAAATACTTTATTCCAGTTTTGGACTAAGAGATCAATTTGAGATCAATGGCCCAAAGTCACCCAACTTCTCCACAATTAAGACTTATCTTTTCCTTTAATGGCTTCATTTCTTCCTCAATTTCTTTTTTAATTGACTTGAAAGAGAGGAAGAGGGTAGAGAGAGAGAGAGAAACACTGACGTGAGAAACATCAATCAGCTGCCTCTTGCACATTGCCCGACTGGGAACCGAACCTGCCACCTGGGTATGTGCCCTGATTGGGAATTGAACCCACCACCTTTTGGTGTATGGGGCAATGCTCCAACCAACTGAACCACCTGACCAGGGCTCCTATCCCCTTATTTTCTAGAACAGTGTTTCTCAAAGTGGTTCCTGGACCATATGTCCAAATGTGGTGGAGTGCTTGTTAAATTCAGGTTGCTGCTGACCACCACACTGAGGTTCCCAATAATAAGATTCAGAATTTTGGGGGAGAGGGCATAAATTTACACATTTAACATACCTCAGCTGATTCTTATGCACACTAAAGCCTGAAAAGCATTACTCTAAAAACATTACTCTCAACATATTTTGCTGTAAAATGAACTTCAACAGTTCAGCAGTTTGTCTGACTTTACCTACAAATAATTGTGGAGGACCCACTGTGATGCAAATTCAGAACCCTGCTCTAAACGTAAGAAATTAGATGTTAATAGTGCAATCTCATGTATCTCCTGCATGGATAAATCTAGATCAGTGATGGCGAACCTTTTGAGCTCGGCGTGTCAGCATTTTGAAAAACCCTAACTTAACTCTGGTGCCGTGTCACATATAGAAATTTTTTGATATTTGCAACCATAGTAAAACAAAGACTTATATTTTTGATATTTATTTTATATATTTAAATGCCATTTAACAAAGAAAAATCAACCAAAGAAATGAGTTCGCGTGTCACCTCTGACACGCGTGTCATAGGTTCGCCATCACTGATCTAGACCATCAAAAGTTAGATACTGCTATTTAGGAAGCATCTCACAGACTGTAGAACTGTGTCATTTTTCATAACTAGATCTTTTAAATATCTTCTAAAGATGATCTGCAAAGTCAGAAAACAATGCATTATTTAGATTCCAAATCTCTAGTCTCTTTGAAGTAAGCTAAAGTGATCAAATGTTTTTTGAGTCACGTTTTTTCAACTCAATGAAAGCTGAGCTATATATTACTGTTTAACTCAGAAGCCTTCCTCAGAAATTAGAATAATTTCTTTCAGTATAAAGTAAATTCCTTCAGCTATCAATCAACTTCAACTTGCAAATCTGTTTCTGCAACAAACTCATAAAGTTACACTCAGGATAAGCAGACTATACACTATGGCTTCTTTTATTTATGTCTGCAGCCTGTGCCAAGATGACTAGTGTCAGGACATGAGGGGGAGGAAGGGTGGGGACATTGAGTCCCCTGAAACTTGCTCAGCTGGCTCATTTTTAAATATATTTTTTATTGATTTTTTTACAGAGAGGAAGGGAGAGGGATAGAGAGTCAGAAACATCAATGAGAGAGAAACACCGATCAGCTGCCTCCTGCACACTCCCCACTGGGGATGTGGCCGCAACCAAGGTACATGCCCTTGACCAGAATCGAACCTGGGACCCTTGAGTCCGCAGGCCGACACTCTATCCACTGAGCCAAACCGGTTAGGGCTCAGCTGGCTCATTTTTAAAAAGTGGGTATGCTCTGAACATGGACTATTGGCCACAAACCCATATACATTTCCTTTTACACCACCTTTCAAATAATTAAAACAGGATTAAAAAACAGACTGAACTTTCAAAATTCAGATTTAAATTCCAGCTCTGTTATCTGCAAAAAAGTCATTCAATGTTTCTGGCTTTGGTTCCCTTATTTGGAATAAAATGAAGTAAGTATGGATGAGTAAATCTCAATTGATGGGGTAGGGGGCAGAATAAATTCCCTAAAAAGGGGCACACTTTTCATTATCCCAATTTAAGAATCGTTGCCATAGCAATCCATCACTCCTAATGTGAGGGCACAGTACTCTTCAGGCCCAGCTGATCCATCACCTTCCTCTAAGTTGAGGACTGTGACTTAGATCAATCTTATTATGAAGCAAGGTTTTTAGAATTACGTATGTCTGAAAAATTCTTCATCTAGTATTTAGTTTCTAGATGGCTGTTGAGAGAGTCTCTCCAACAGGAAGGTAAATTTTGCATCTTAAGGTCTTTCATAGCTGACCAGGAAAAGCCAGTGTACTCCCTAGCTCACTGCAGAGATGGCATCATTTTTACCACTTCCTGTTCCCAAATGGCATTTTAACTTAAATATGTCCTTATATAATTGGATGTAGTTGAGTAAAAAATTAACCAATTCATATCCTGTATGTGGTCTTCATGCTCCAAGAGTTGACTCAGAGAGGAGAAGTATGGAAGACATGCAGAACCATGTACTCATATCAAATTATGACATATTATTAAGGCATACTTGCATGCTCCCCCCACACACATCAATGTCTGTTGCATAGATTTTTAAAATAACTGTGATACAAAATTCTGTAGATCTTTTCCAAAAAATCATTGCCAAGACCAATGTCAAGAAGCTTATTTACCGATTATGTTTTCTTCTGGTTTTATGGTTTCAGGTCTCACATTCAAGTCTTTAATCCATTTTGAGTTGATTTTGTGAAGTATAAGATAGTGGTCTGGCCTCATTCTTTCACATGTATCTGTCCAATTTTCCCAACACCATTTATTGAAGACTCGTCTTCCCTCATTGTATTTTCTTGGATCTTTTGTCATTAATTGCCCAAATATGTGTGGGTTTATTTCTATTATGTTCCATTGATCTATCTGTCTGTTTTTATGACAATACCATTCTGTTTTTGATTACTATAGTTTTATAATATAATTTGAAATCATGAAGCATGATGTCTCCACCTACATTCTTCTTTCTTAAGATTGTTTTGGCTACTAGGGGTCTTTTGTGATTCCACAAAAGAACTTTTTCAGTTGGTTAAATCATTGTCTTGATACGCCAAGGTTGTGGGTTCAATCCCAAGTTAGGGCACATACAAGAGTCAACCAATGAATGCATAAGAAGAACAAATCGATGTTTCTTTCTCTCTCCCTTCCTCTCTCAAATCAATAAAAACATTTTTTAAAAAGAATTAAGTACTTTTTAAGGGTCACGAAATATTTCATCAAGTAGATCTATGGTTACTTTAGCATGTCAGTTTCCAGATAACAGGGATTTTTCAAGAGAAGATACTTAAGATGTTACTAGACTATGGTTCTAACAGTACCTTAGTTTTTCTTTCCAAAGTAACATTCAATTATAATTTTATTCTTAATTTCTTTCATCATTTGAATTGTTTGAAGACAGATGATAAGAATGTCCAGTTTCCTAAATTCAGATGATTCCTAATTAGAATGTCAAACTGACAAGTGTCTCTGACTTCCTGTCTCTGTCTAATCTGTACAAAGGGGAAAAGAAATCCAGTCCAGGTTCCCAGATTCCTTCCCTTTTGTAGTGCCCACTCTTGCTGGTCCTTTCTGTAGCTGCTTTATTTGCTCTTAGTGCCTTTTACATTCCTATGTTTCTGACCTCAGCTTACCAAAATGACTAAAACTTTGCTTTCTATTGTTTTTGCTTTATGAAAACTCCAAATCCATAAGTACAACAGCTTCAAAGTGAAGCCTGGATTAGAACCTGGTTCCATCAACAGTTAAGAGAATCTGGCAAATCACTAAAACACTATCTGTGCTTCAGTTTTCTCAGCTTTAAAGTGTGGCTAATAGTATATACTAGTAATACTTGAGTACTGAACTGGAAAATGTATTGAAAGTACATAATGCAGTGCCTGGCACCCTACAAGCCTTCACACAGAGTAGTTATTATTCATGTTTTCCTACCCTAGTTTGGAATTGCTATTCATGATCCTTGACTTGTACCCCAAGACTACAGGCCAAGGGAGATACAGAAGGAAAAGAACAAGTCCTTCCCTGACAAAGGAATCTATGAGTTTGGAAATACCAACCTGGAGAAGGAAGACAATCACTAATCATGAAGGTTTAAGAGGAAATCTAGCAAGAATCAATTGGGTGTTTGAGATAGGTATGTTAACTTTAATAGAAAACAAAAGAAGTCTCAGAAATATTTCAGTAGAAGTATATAAATACATAAAAATCTCTTACTGGCATTTAAAAAAAATAAAATACAGCTTTTCAGTAGCAACCTAGTTTCCATGGGGAGTTATTTTTCCAAATAGCATAAAATTAGTTTCCCATCTTAAACTGCACCTGCTAGATCCTAAACATTTGTATTATTAAGTCTCTGGACTTAAAGTGCTGTCAATGTGAATTTTCCTCCTACTGTGCCCATCTGTTCTTTTCTTGTGGACCCAGAGGAAGCCAAAGCTTAATAAATATTCAGTTTTCAGACTTCTTTATATTTTCATATAAGCACTTATATCCACTGAGGAAAATTACAAGACTGTGTGCAGAAACAACTCATACTTGATTTTCCTTTTCTCACTGTTCAAGTGGTCACTATTTTGATGGAAGACTAAAGAGTCACCATACATATAAAGCCAAGGAAAACAAATGATTATAACTTTAAAAAAGATGCATTTGTCAAGGACGGTAACTGATCTTTGATAATAATAACTCCACAATATACCTTACTTATTCATGTAATATTAGATAAATAATTTATGAATTATCCCATGTTGATGTGAACAGGGCCAGCTCAGGTGGGGAAAAGCATCAAGGCCACTGCCTACTCGTGGTTGCTCCTCAGCAAGGTCAGCAGTGACCTCCTTCACAGGATGCATTTCCCCTAGTGATGCTGCTCCGCCACTCAAGCAGCGAAGGGCCATGGTGAGCTCGCTTTCCATGACTACCTTCCCTGCCCCATGTCAAGCTGGCTCCATGAGAACTATCCATACCTACTCATGTAGTGTTACTATTTGACTTGTTTTACTTTAAAAATAACACTTAAAAACAAAGTAACACCAACAAAGAAATGGATGGTTGCTACATTAAAAACACTGTAAGCTACAAACATAAATTCAAGATAGATAGAAATATTAGACACACATGGCTACTTATAAAACTACTTGGCAGGCAGAGGTCTGGAGGAAGATGTTACATATTGGCAAGCTTAGAGCAGACTAAAAAAAAACTACCTCAGCAGCTGCAAGGCCGATGCATACTCCTCTGAATCCCATATGTTCTTTTCTAAACATGTGCAGTACAGCTCTCTGATCTGTAAGTGAATAGCACACTTATGAGGAACCAAAAGTGATGTACTAAGTTGGCATACTACTAGTTTGACAAAATCCACATAACTAGTCAAAAAATTAGGGTTATTAAAAACAACCATTTTCTTTAGACGACAAAAAAACTGGCATATATCACATGGATCAGTATTTATAAGAACATCATTTGCATATAAGGAAAGTGAAACTATATTGGAATTGGCTGTTAATCACCGGTCACTTTGCAACACAAAAATCATGAAAATGATAATGTGATTAATAAAAAAAAGGCTTAATGGCAGCAATCATTTTATAAACAAGTCATTTTTAAAAAAATATTTTTATTCATTTCAGAGAGGAAGGGAGAGGGAGAGTTAGAAACAGCAATGATGAGAATCATTGATGGGCTGCCTCCTGCAGACCCCCCACTGGGGCTCGAGCCTGCAACCTGAGCATGTGTCCCCACCTGGAATCGAACCCAGAACCCTTCAGTCTGCAGGCCAACACTCCATCCACTGAGCCAAACCAGCCAGGGCAACAAGTCATTTTTTACATATTTATTCTCTAAACCTTTGAGTTAAGTGCAAACTTTTAAGAATACAAAATTCTTCCATTAAAATCCTACAGATGGTTCATGGGTTTATATGACACAAAGGCCGGCAGAGGATAATTTTGCAGGGAGAAGTACTAGTTCCCTTTTAGTTCTTAGTATAATGCAAGGTTAACCATTAAGCATTCTTAAACAGAATTTTTCCATTTCACTAAGGTGGAGGGTCACCTTTGTTTAAGTGATGGAAAGTGTTAAACAGAAAAAGCTGAAATGCCTTAGCACAAATACATTGCAGAGGAAGCAACATCAATAGGATTGATGTGGTCGTTTCTAGTTGTGGCCATCAGAGTAAAAAATATTGTTTCAATTACCAGTAATGGGTACAGCTGGAATGGATTTAGATTGTGCACTCACTGCAAGATTTGGATCCATTTCAAATTCTGATGTCTGAATGCTACCGAAATCAAAGCAAGAAACTACCAATATTCTGACTTCACAGATTCCAAATGAGGAAATTTTGGTTACCTGTCGACCCAGTGGGTACTTGGGAAGAGAAGAAGTGAACTGATGAAGACATCTCAAAACCAGAAAGTAATTTGTATGGTACACATGCAGGCTTTCTAGTAATGATTGTGTCTCCTCCTAAAAAAATCACAGAATACATATGTAAGTCAGTAATTTAAAAAATACAACAATAAATCTACTTAATGGATATATATAATTTCAGAAAAACTGAAAAGAAATGATTCAGAATAACAAATCATCCTTCTCAATTCTGAGAATTTATAATGTATACAAAATCCAGAGTAAAGGCTGGGTATTTTTTATTTAGTATAAAGTCTATTTTACACACACCAAAATTAATACTGTGATTTAATCTCCTATCTACAGCACTGCCACAAATACAAGTGTGGCCCCCAAAACACAACTGTGAAAAATAGCATCTTAACCAGCCAGTGTGGCTCCTGGTCAGAGCACATGCCTAAGTCATGGGCTCGATCCCAGTAAGAGGCACGCAAAGGGCAGTCCATTGATGATTCTCTCTCATCTTTGATGTTTCCATCTCTCTCTCATCTCTCTGAAATCAATATTAAGAAAAACAAACACGAAAAAGAGCACCTTGTTGGATGCCTGCCTGTGCCAGGCACCTAGTGTGTGCCAGAGCAAAGTAGGCCCATTACCCTCTACCTCACTGGCATCAGAAGAGTGAGGAGATGACCAATAATTAACAGTTACTGAGGTCCCACTTACGATGTATGCTTTTCTTAAAGTACAGCTAGAGCTGTGTTTGAAAGGGAAGAAACATCACAGGTGATTCTGCCTTTTGTTGAGATTCTCCAATATGTACAGGTTTTTCTTTCACTTTACCAATTAAGAAAAAAATAGTGAAAAAGAGAAATCTAAAGCCAACAAGCTTTATAATTTAGAATTCGGTATGATATGAAAGACAGTGTGTTAAGAAACCGAAAGGATGACTAATCTTGCAAATCAATTTCAAAAGGTTTTTTTTTTTTTAGGGGGGAAGGGAGGTTGAGGAGAAGGAGCATTGTTTTTTAAAACCTTCTGAAGTAGCTTAGAAATGATTTTAAAACACTGCAACCTAGCAAGAGCTTTTCAGGCCTTATATTTTCATGACTGCTTACTTCTGTAACATTTTCTTAAGAGGATTATGATTTGCTTTTCAGATTTCTTTTCTCTTCTGAGAAGTCAAATAAAGGACTTTAACTACTGGCCTGTCTTTTTTCGGTAATATCTTGCAGATACCCATTAATTTTAGTAGTCAACCATGCAGAAAAGAACACTTCAGGTATCAATAAATTCAAACAAATCTAAAAAGCAGCAAATCTGAGATATTTTCCTAAACTCTAAATCACTTAGAAATCAATTCCTTGTTTCAGCAATCTATGGATTAGCCCCTAGGCCAGTGATGGCGAACCTTTTGAGCTTGGCGTGTCAGCATTTTGAAAAATCCTAACTTAATTCTGGTGCTGTGTCACATATAGAAATTTTTTGATATCTGCAACCATAGTAAAACAAAGACATATTTTTGATATTTATTTTATATATTTAAATGCCATTTAACAAAAAAAAATCAACCAAAAAAATGAGTTCAGGTGTCACCTCTGACACGCGTGTCATAGGTTTGCCATCACTGCCCTAGGCCTTAGGGCAAATAAAAAAAAACACCTGAAAGCCTAGGGAAAATTTAAAAAAAAAAAAGCCTTTAATATAAAAATGTTTTTCTTCCCAATATTTGAATTAGTTGGTTATTCAAAAATCTAGGTCTGCTATCATCATCAGTACACCAGTACATCAGTGCAAATGGTACTTTAACCACTAACTGGGAGAGCATATTTTAATTCTATGTTTACCGTCAACCAGCAATTTTTGCTGCAAGAATTTTTAAAACAGGTAATACCTGACTATTTAGTCAGCAACACTGATCTCTTTTCCCTTAAATTGTCAAATAACAAGAACGACAACAGCCAACACAACAATAGCCATCCAGTGTGAATGAATCAAAATCATACCTATTTTTTTGTCAGGTCAGCAAAAAATGTATTTTTTGGTGTCCTACAGAATGTTAGTAATTAGTTTATGTGCCATGAGATAAAAAAAAAAGATTGAATATCGCTGCTGTAAACTGTAACATAGAAATTGCATAAAGGCAACAATTGCTTCCCTTGATGAATGCTTAAATAGCTTTTAAACAGGGGAAGCATTCCATAGAAAAAGGAATCTATTACTGAATAAAGTCATACTTTATGCTACTTGCACTACCCATTACTTTTACTCTGTGGAGTAACTATATATACAAATAACTGAGTGGTACAGTAGAATTGAAAAACATCTTTCCGGAATTTACTTGTATGAGGAGAGAAAAGAATACTTTACACAGCATGGGCAACATTGCACAATCAGGAACTGTGCCCTGGAGTGTGAGATTATTTGAAAACTCCATTTCAGATTTCTCAAACACTGGTAAAGAACCCTGGGCACCTGCTCCTCAGCTTACACTAACTCTTCAATAAAGTTGACATCAGGCCTGGAAATTAATGCCAGATCTTCCATTTGCTAATTGTGACACTTTAGATAGGCAACTTACTTAATCACTTTGTGACTCCCCCATCAATACAAAGGGATGTAAAAACATCTGTCTTATGTGGTGGCTGTGACTCACAGTGAGGCAATGCATAAAAACTAATTGGGAAAAGCTATTAATATTCCCCCATTTCCCCCAAACATTTGCTCATGGAAAGGAAAGTAATTTTTCATTATTTAAAAAACCTTTTCAGTATTTCGAGGCCTAGTGTTTTTTATGATCAGATAATGATGACAATTATGCAAATAAGATGAGGCCACAGTCTTATATTTCAGGCACAAGCAATTATAGTAAATTTGAAAGTTCTGTTTCAGGTTCTTTTGACTTCTCAATTTTTCATGAAATACAGTTTCCTAAATGAAAGTTTTAAAGTTGAGAAGAAAAAAAAAGGTTTAATTACTAAAGCAACACTATGGGGCAAAAAACACGGTAAAAGTATATCCAGTCTCCTGCTATTTCATCTAAAACCTATAGTTGCCTAACTAATAATAACTAATAATTTATCTTCAATTAAACCTATACATTAAAAGAAAATTATAATGAGGAATTTAAATGACTTAACCAGCCAGGAAAAATTATTACTAATCTATTTAATGAACAAATTCATAAAATCATAGCATTCCAGAGCCAAAAGAAACTCTAAAGATTATTTGGTTAAACTTCTTTTAAGGGTCTGAAAGCTATGAGTCATCAGAAGTTTCAGTCAATGATAGTTGTGTAAGCTTATTCTGCTTAAACTTACTAGAACTTGATTGCTAATTGTCAGAGTATACTCTTTAGCCATTGTACCCAGTTGCACTGTACAATTATTCAAGGGACAGACTATTCAGAAATAAGAAAATGCACAGAATCTTTTAGTCTTTCATCAGCTGCAAATGGTCTAATGTCCCACCTTAGTTTAAACTTCCTAGTGAATTTTATGCAAATGTACATGGTTTAGTCAGCTGAATTTTTTAATTTAAAAATGCACTCTCAAAAAGCCCAGTCCTTAAGTTTATAAAATACACAGTTGGGATATAGTTTTTTTGTTGTTTGTTTTTTAAACCTTAACTGCAATTTTTGTGTGTATGTGTGTTTTTTAATTCTTTATTGTTTAAAGTATTACATAAGTCTCCTTTTTCCCCCAATGACCTCTCCCTGGCTGCCCCCACCCCCCAGCACATGCCCTCATCCCCCTACTGTCTATGTCCATTGGTTATGCTCATATGCATGCATACAAGTCCTTTGGTTGATCTCTTACCCCCTCACCCCTGACCTTCCCTCATAGATTGGACAGTCTGTCTGATACAGGATACAGTTTTAAGGCAATATTTAGTAAACACAAGGTCCATAATTTCAAGGGAGTTGAGGGTTTTTTTAACACCTTGAGTCCAGTCAGAGGATAATGAAAGTGAATCATTTGTTTAGATTTGGATTTCACACATTAGTATAATACTTAAAATAAGGTAAGGGAAAGATAAATAACATAGGGATTCAATCTAGTTCAGTGGTTCTCAAGAATGGTCTCTAGCATTACCTGGAACCCTGCTGGAAATAGAGCTACAATGAGAACCTCTGGGGATGGAGCCCAGAAATCTCCTTTAACAATCTCTCCAAGTGATTCTGATTTGATAACCATAGGTTTAGTTCATCAGCATAAAGAGGAAAGTAGATTTTTAGGGCAGAAAGAGCCCAGACATAAAGAGTATACATTTTTTTGGAATATACTTTGAGGTATATGTCTTAGAAATCTTAGTTTAGAAACTAGGTACAAAAACAAACTCTAAGCCCATCCAGCATGGCTCAGTGGTTGAGTGTTGACCTATGAACTAGGAGGTCACGGTTCAACTCCCAGTCAGGGCATATGCCCAAGTTGCGGGCTTGATCTCTAATGTGGGGTGTGTAGGAGGCAGCCAATTAATGATTCTCATTATTGATGTTTCTCTCTCTCTCCCTCTCTGAAATCAATAAAAGTATATTTTTTAAAAAATAAATAAAAATAAACTCTAAGAGTAGGCATGTCTATATAACTATATAATCTATATGACTATGTAACAAAATATTTTATATATAATCTATATATATAAAAGTCCAGCGACTGTTACGGCGGGAGGACTGGACGACCAGAATAACCGGTCACTATGATGCGCATTAACCACCAGGGGGCAGACGCTCAACACAGGAGCTGCCCCCTGGTGGTCAGTGCGCTCCCACAGCTGGAGCTCCACTCAGCCAGAAGCAGGGCTCACGGCTGGCGAGTGCAGCGCTGGTGGCGGGAGCCTCTCCAGCCTCCGTGGAGCGCTAAGGAGCAGTGAGCAAGCAGTAAGGAGCTAGGGGTCCCTCTCACAGCTGGAAATCCCCCGAGGGGTCCCGGATTGCAAGAGGGTGCAGGCCAGGCTGAGGGACATCCTCCCCTCCCCCACCCCCAACCCCGTGCACAAATTTCGTGCATTGGGCCTCTAATATTTATATATAGTATATAAAACAGTATAGTATATAAAACTATGTATTCATATTGAGATCTTAATTTTTATAATAGTAAAAATAGTAACAATATGATTTACATTTACGAAAGTTTTAGTTATATTTGTTTTTAACTTTCACTTGCTGAGCAGACTTTGATTATCACTGAACCTATAAGAAAATTGTACAAGGAATTATTATCTGATTATTTAGATAAGGAAATAGAGGCTTAAATAGGGTAAGTGGTTCTTGAGTAGCTGAAGATAAAATGTAAGATTTCTGAGTTTAAGATAAGGATCTTTCCCTACATCACGCAGTACCATATTTTAATGTGAAATTTTTTCCAATTTTTAAAACTGTAGCAAAATACACATGAAGTTGAATTATATTGTATTTAAAAACAAAATTATAAAAAGAAAAAAGCATTATAAGAATAAAATATTCAAAGATACTTTCACTCTACACTATTCAAATCAACAGACACACTAATTTTTCATAGACCTCTTCTGTCCTTTGAATTCAGCAGGTAGCCTGCAGATAACTTTTTCAGGCTAAGGGTATAAATCTTTATGCTCCTTCATATTCTATGTAAGTCTCAAAAAATATGCCTCTAAATGAAAAAACATAAAATTCTAAAATGAATTCAGGAAAGATAAGAAGCAGGCTGATGAGTGCAACAAGAACAAGTACAGTAGAAATAAATGCTTAGACAGTACACAAAAAGTTACTGAAAAGCAGAGATAAATATCAGGCTATTTCTACAAGAAACTAGCCTAGACATGTTCTCCCTTTGTAACTCAATGGTTAAAGGTACTCTAAAAATCTATTCCTGGGCTTTTAAAAATACACTCTCGAAAGAAAGTTCTAGCAGGAAATGCACTTGGCAACAAGCTCACTTAGCAGAGAGCTAATCTATGTGATCTTAAAAGACTTTAGTAAACATGCACACATCCTTTTCCAGTGGCTCTTAAATTTCCTCTCTACCAAAATAACCTGCATTAGGGTTTGAGGACTTTCTGTACTGCTCTAAAAAGGTTACAGAAATTATGAAAACGATTCTTAAACTCAATCTAGAAGTAATTTTATATTAAGGCCCAGTGTGGATTCTGCATTAAAAATGATGTTTAATAGCTTAGCTGGTGTAGCTCAGAGGTTGAGCTTTGACCCAGGAACCAAGAATTAGCTGGTTCAATTCCTGGTCAGGGTGCATGCCCAGGTTGTAGGCTTGATCCCCAGTAGTGGGTGTGCAGGAGGCAGCTGATCAATAATGTTTCTCTTTCATCGATGTTTCTATCTATCCCTCTCCTTTCATCTCTCTCTAAAAAAATAAAAAACATATTTTAAAAAAGTAATCCTATATAATAAAAGCCTAATATGCTAAGTGTCGGTTGTCCAGTTGGCCGTTCAACCAATCAAAGCGTAATATACTAATGATATGCTAAGGCCACTCAACCACTTGCTATGACGTGCACTGATTACCAGGGGGCAGACACTCTGACAGGTAGGTTAGCTTGCTGCGGGGGTCCGGCTGATCGGGACTGAGTGACATGGACCAGACACACCCTGGAGCCCTCCCGCAGTCCCTCCCCGGCTGGCCAATCTCCTGTGTCCCTCCCTGGCCCTGACTGAACTGGTGGGGTCCCTCGGCCTGCCCTGCACCCTCTAGCAATCCAGCACCACTCAGGGGATATCGGAGAGCCGGTTTCTGCCTGATCCTGCTCAACGCAGGAGCTGCCCCCTGGTGGTCAGTGTGCTCCCACAGGGGGAGCATCGCTCAGCCTGAAGCTGGGCTCACACCTAGAGAGCACAGCAACGGTGGCGAGACCTCTCCTGCCTCCTCAGCAGCGCTAAGGATGTCTGACTATTGGCTTAAGCCCACTCCCTGGGGGTAGCGGGCCTAAGCCATCAGTCAGACATCCCCTGAGGGCTCCCGGACTGTGAGAGGGCACAACAAAGCAAGGTAGATATAATAGTGTATATAATATACTTATTTCTGTAAGACAGGGGAGGAAACCCTCATAATATATATATAATTACTTGTGTATGTGGAGAATATCTCTAGAATGATATGTAAGAAACTAATAATGCTGGCTATATTCAGGAAGGGAAAGAGGGCAGTTGGAATCTTTTCACTCTATATTGCCTTTGCCTTGTGAATGATGTACCATGTCCAAGTATTATTCATAAAAGATATAAACCAAACTCTTTCTTTTGACATTCCCTTCATTTTATGGCTAATTCATAATATTTTAAGCTCATTACTTCTTTCCTGGCATTATATTATCAATATATAACGACATTGTATCAAATCAATACCCACTTAGCAGTGGGTTCCTAAACTACATGGCTTCTATGTGCTTTTATTTATGACAGTCTTTAAAAGGACATTAAAATGAAACTGTCTGCAGTTTCCAAACTGTCATGTGGAAAGAAAACTGAGATCTAAAAGTGTTTTCAAAATAGGCCATAGGAGAAACCTAATGTTCTAGTTAATAAAGTCTTATCTTTGATATGAGGTTTAGTGTAATCTTTAATAGTCACATTCCTATATGATTATCAAGGACTACTTCATTCTACAAAGCATATTAAGATATACAAATGTTTTGTAAAATTAACTCAATATATATGTGTATATTCTTTTTCATTAAGAAAACAAGGAGAATAAAACTGAAATACAGCCACACTCCTACCTTTAAAAATCTCTCATTAGTCAACAGTGCAACCTGCTTTTCTGTAGCTTGCTTTTCCACGTACCTAAAATGTTTACCGTATCATACACAAAAAGAGAAAATTAAACATTCTAAGTATCTGAATAGCACATGGGGGAAAAGAACTACCTAGATTGGTGGTCACATTCTTTCATTTCTTCTCAAAAATACATTCAAGATGATAGTTTAATGATATTTTTAACTCCTTAAGTCAGCTGCAGTTCACAGTCTAGGGGTCCAATCATAAACTCCAGAAATAGGAAATGTTATTTATAAAAAGTAACTCTGGAGAATCTGTAAATTATGTCTCCTTGTAAAAATACTTTTCTTCATGCCAAATTTTCAAATCCAACAAAGAAATCTCACAATTAAAAACAGAAGGGGCACAGCCAGTGTGGCTCAATGGTTGAGCATCAATCTATGAACCAAGAGGTCACAGTTTGATTTCCAGTAGGGCAGATGCTGGGTTGTGGGCTCCATCCCCAGTAGGGGGCATCAGGAGGCAGCCAATCAATGATTCTCTCTTATCATTAATGTTTCTATCTCTCTCTCCCTCTCCCTTCCTCTCTGAAATTAATAAAAATATATTTTCAAAAAACACAGAAGGGTTTAAATCTGCTCTAAAAAAATTAAGTTTCTTTTTCCTTTTTCATCTTCAAAAATAACTGCATCTGAGATCCCTTATTTTGGCCCAAACTCTATCATAAGACATGTTAAATATACACTTTATTTTTTTTACCTCCTAAATGATGCAAGACGTCGGATGTTTTCACATTGATTATCTGATAAAAAATGTATTCTTCTCTTGGCTTCTGGGAGATTACAACACAGAACACTGAGGGGCTGGGAATAGAAATGCTCTAATAGAGAAAGCTGAAAAAAATGTAAAGATTAAATATATTTGTTATATTTTGTCAGTAAATCTTTTGCCCTATGTCTGCTCAATTTTAGTTGTTTTTTTAAACAGCAGAAGTATTTATGACACAAAATATACTTAATGTCACAATAACTGCAAAAAATACATAAATGGTTAATACCTTTAATATTTTAAGGTTTTCATTTTGTGGACAAGGTCAGAACATTATAATCTCTGAAGTATAAACTAAAGAAACTAATACAAATAGATAAATTAGTTATTTGCAGAAGTAACTCACTTAAAATAACAGTACAGTAAATGTTGTGGGGATGAGACTGGGATGTGACCTAAGGTTCTAATCGATGTCCCAAAACTCATAAAAAATACCAATCTAAAATCAGTGTAAAAACTGGTCTGCTAAATAAAAATGTTACAATGGTAGAAGCTTTGCCTATTCTTTTTTCATAAAAAGAATAATGAAAAATGATGATGGCTAAAGAAAATGTATCTTTTTAAATTCAGTTTTTAAATTCAGTTTTCCTCCACTTCATGGAGGAAAACATAGTACAGTATCAGATAGGTACAAGTAATCTAGTAACTAGAATGCTGTAGTTGTCACAGTATAAGGATGAATGATTTTCCAGATTCTGCCATAACTGATAAGATATATCTTGTAAAACTCTCCAAATATTAAAAACTTTGACTCTAAGCAACCTTCTATTGACCAGTTTGCTTTTTTCCAGATACCTTGATACTGGAGAGACAGTTCCCTACACAGTAGACAAAACACACTGTGATCACTGGGAAATAGCATTCCCATCACAAAATAATAAGTTAATATGCTAGTTTACATAACACTCTTAAGGTATTTGAGCTTGGTCCTTCCTGGGTAAACTAATAATGAATTTCTGAGCCTACAGAGCTACAGACCAGATACCCAAGGCTAGAGAAAATCCTCCAAAATAGTTCATTCTGGAGGAAGTATAAGGCTGTGAGGTGAAGGACCAGCCTAACTTAAAAACAAGTATAAATCAGAAAGCAACTATCCATGCCAAGTGCTAAATTATTTTTGCACATATTAACATAATCTTGTTTCTTACTTAGATTTTCCAATGACATTAATGTGGTAATACTTATTCTAATGTTAACACCATTTTTTAAACATCAGAAAAATAAAAATCAAACATGATAAGGAACTTCCTGGAGAGGAGGAATGGGAGCAAGTCACGAGCTACAGTAGAGCTACAAATAGGATAAGAACCCAGTGTCACTTAACTAGTTTGTCCAAGTGCGTCCTCAATCTCTGGGTCAATTAACAAGTTGGTTAACGTATCCACCTGATGAAGGAAGGATTTAAACATATGCAGAATGATCATATTCCCTATTTACCTCTACAGAAATCAGGACTTACACATATTTCCCACTGATGATTAGGAAAACTGGACAAATGGGGTCTAAATGTTCTGCCACTTATTAGCTATGTGACTTAGGCCAAGCTACTTACCCTAAGGCTGTATTTTCATGTGCAAAATTGAGGGTAATAATACATTAATGAAACAAAAAAAATACTTAGTAAAGTGCCCAGCACAAAGGAGGTGCTTCGTAAATGATCAGAAACCTATAAAATCATCCAATCTGATTCCCCTTATTTTATAGATGAGAAAACTGAGACCCACAGAGATTAGTAACTTGGTTAATGTCCTTTTCTTCACTCACTTTTTCAATGGTATTTGAGACTACAATTTATATTTTCTAAAGCTCCTTCTTCCCTTGACTTCAGTAGTACTCTACTTTCTATTGGCTTTCCTTTTGTTTTTAGTCTCCTTTTCTATTGCTCATGTTTATGTATCAGTCTGTCTTAAGGTTCTACCCTTAGTGCTTTCCTTACTCCTCTGCTTGATATTTCATCCTCATTACATGACTTCAACTAACCACCTTTTAATGATAAATCCTAAATATTTCTAGCCCAGATTTTTTTCCTCAGTGCCAAATCTTTATATCCAAGAAAACCTAAATTAGCCTATTCAAAAACTTACCCTTTTCTAACTGGCTTTCATTTATATTAAATGTACACTTAATAAATGGTACCAACCTCAAATCTATCTGCCAAACCAGAATCTTTATATCTGTCACTTATGCTCCTCTCTTACACATCCTATCATCTACTTAAGTCACCAGATTCTGTTGATTCTATCTCATCCTCAAATTTGTTTCCTCCTCTCCATTCCCACTATCACTACCTTATTTAGCCTTTGTCATATCTTGTCTATATTACTGCAGTAGATCTTTGATAGATCTCTCCCTCTCTGGTTGCCTTTGCCGGGACTGCTCTTCCAATTCTGACCTGGCTAGCTCTTCTTCCTTAGGACACACTTCTTTCTATAGAATCTCCAGGAATGTTTCTTTCATAGCATTGACTCAGAACTATAAATGCATGTTTACTTTTCTTCCTCCTTCATTAAGCAATGAGCAATTTGAAGGCAGACATTTCTTTGTCCTATGCATTTCTAGAACTTAGCATAGTGCTTGGATTTTAGTAGGCTCTTAATAAATAATTATGAATAAATAAATGAATAAAATGAAATGAATAAGAAGTTAGAAGTTGCTATAACTCCATATCATTTAATTTCACATATTGCTAAAGTAAATATTTTCTTGCTCTTAAATACTTTTATAAAAAATATCTAAACTGAAAAAAATATATATATTAGCCACAACAGACCACTACAGTGTTTTATATGGAAAAAGAGTGGATATGGAAAGTAATTTATAATCATCTAGGCACTACATAAACATGAGGTATTATATTGTGCTTTTGTACCGACGTTACTAATATACAGGTTTTAATCAATTTGACAACTGACATATGTTCACAATGATTACACTTTGCTAAGGTATTTTAGGTAGTCACCAAGAGAGGGAAATAATATTAAGTTTTAAACAACTAAAGAATGGGGTCTATTTTTAGTTTAGAATAGATGTTATGAAGCTAGATTAATGAATTTTTTTCTGGCAATTTAGGAAATCTTGGTGAAAATGCATTCCCAATATATAAGAATAAATATAAATGAACACATACACATATATGCAGAGGACAGCAAGCTATGACCCACAGCCCATTTTTATATGGCCTAGGAATGTTTTTTATATCTTTAAAGGGTTGTTGTTTTTTTAAAAGAAAACAAAGACTATACAACAGAGGCCATATGTAGCATGCAAAGCCAAAAATATTTAATATCTGGTCCTTTACAAAAATGTTTGCTGACCCCTTATATATAACACTAGAGGCCCAGTGCACGAAATTCATGCACGGTTGGGCGGGGGGGGGAATCCCCCTCAGCCCAGCCTGCACCCTCTCAAATCCGGGACCCCTTGGGGGGATGTACAACTGCCAGTTTAGGCCCAATCCTGGGTATCAGGCCTAAACCAGCAGTCGGACATCCCTCTCACAATTCTGGACCACTGGCTCCTAATCGCTCACCTGCTTGCTGGCCTGGTCACCCCCAACTGCCCTCCCCCTGCCGGCCTGGTTGCCCCACGCAGCCTGCTGTTCAGTTGTTTGGTAGTCCCTCACTAACCCCCCTGCTGGCCTGGTTGTAGGTAGCCATCTTGTGAGGGTGTGAGGGTCAATTTGCATATTACCTCTTTATTATATAGGATTTCCTAGGTAGAAAGTCTATAAGCTTTCATCAAATTTTTTAAAAAAGGTCTCTTTTCCCACCCTACCCCCTAACATGGTTAAGAATCATTGGAATGGACATTTTGCTATCCAATTAATGCATTCTCTATATTTTCGCTGCAAGGTAACAAAGCAATAGTAGGACCTAGAATAATATAACTTGAATTTACTTATTCTAGATTTTGCCATTTAAAATGCCTTAAATATCACACTAGTCAATTTGAAATAACATGCAAATTATTTGGAATCAGCTTGTGAATTTTCAAATCCATTAGTGTCTTCTTACCTGAAGTCCTTTTATAAAGTTCTGTATTGAGAAATCATAATATAAAAAGATGCTGGTCAGAATCTGTAATACTTTTTCACTCAGTTTAAAGGGAAACTGAGTTGTAAGAAGTAGCTGAAAGAGATAAATGGGGACAGGACATACTCCTTGTTAGTCTTTATTCTTCATAAATATCAAGTATAAGTAATGAGTCAAAGAATGAGACTATGATACAGTAACTATGAGAGCTATAATAATAGCTAGGTTTTTTAGGTTAAACATCAACTAAAATTTTAAATTAATTTACACAACAATAACAAAAAGGAGCTGTTCATACCACATGTTCAAAATCAAAGATGTCCATCACCTCCTACTCAATTCCTCATTTTAAAAAATACTGCCTATCAACTATATAAACCCCTTTCTCCCACCAGAAGCCATTGAAGCTACAAGTTTTGGCAATTCTTGTTATCTGATTTCTTTCTCATCCCTATTGATACATTTTATGTACTATTAGATGAGAAACCCCAAATTAACATGTCTATTTCAAAAATATAAAATAGCTGAATTTGTATTATCTAATTTTCAATGGCCTATAGTGAAGATTTTACATCTGAAAATGAAGTCATACTAGACTTTAAAAACATTTTTTATAATTTATCTTTATTGTTGAAAGTATTACAGATGTCTCCCTTCCTCCTTCCTCATTGGCCCCCTCCACCCCACTCCTGCCCCTCCCCTGGTCTAGACATTTTAAACAGAAACATGGTCATAGAAGGCCAACTGAAATTGGCTACAACCAAGCAATTTTAAAAACTATAGCTGGAAAAATTTTTCCTAGAGTGTCAGCAAACCAATGGATACCACCTTTATGGGGAAAAACTGTATAAGTGGTTAGTAACTAAATGGAAGGTTGTCATTAGTTTACCTTACACAAGCAACATAAAGCACATCTCAAGGGAGCTGAGTCTAGCAACAATTTGTGGAAGGTCAATACTAAAGAAGTGTATTTCTATTTAGGTAGAGGCATAGAGCTATGGTCTGGGAAAACATTAGTATTTATTTTCAGTCAAGAGCAGCATGACAAGAAAGAGTCCACTAAAAATTTCAAATCATTTAATATTAAATGTAAGAGTCAAAATATTGTTACTGTTACCAGGAAGTCATTAAATTCTGTAAAAATTTATTTTTAAAACCAGTAATTTTCCATTGAGTAATAACTGATTGATAGCTATAGATTGACAGATATCATTCTTTTCATAAATCTTATCTTTTTAACTCAAGAGGCAATACTATACCACAAAATCATTCAATAAAAATATTAAAATATGTGAAGGAATATGTTCAATATCATACTCTGAAGAGATGCAGAAATTTATCATTAACATTTACACTTATAATCTATTCTTGGCAATTTTCTTTCATCCTATTTCACTGGTAAATTTTTTTATTTTTACCTTATCAATTACTGTAGTCAGGTGCTCCTTGCAAGACAAAGATTGGAATATTTCTATACACAACATAGATGATACTGCATGAGGAAGCAACCGATGGATGATAACAGGAGATGTGGCAATTCCAAAAATGAGTATTAGTGGAAATTCATGTAGATGCTGACTAGTTTAAAAAAAAATACAGAAGTGGGATTTCTTTAGCAAATATATTTCCAAACAGTCTGAAGTGTTAGAAGAGGTGTAAGATACCATACAATTTAACCTCTCACCCAAAATTTGAGTCCCACTTACAGTATTCCTCAAAGTTAGTTATCCAGCCTATGCTTTAAGAGTTCAGTGACATGAAGATCACTAATTTTCAAGGTAACTTACTCTATTTATAGACATTTCTAACAGACACATTTCGAAGACATAGTTTTAGTGGGCATTACTAAAAAACATTACATCCTTTTCTCGCATCCTTAACTCAAACTTATTGAATATGATTGATTCTTAGCATTACCAACAGGAACACAAATGACTTCCCCAGAGTAAAACAGTTCTCTTCTTGAGAGCTACTGCAGGTTAGTCCTGTGTAACAAGGCTGATGATCTTGCTTGCTCCCTCCTGTTAGCTATTGCTTTTCATAGTATAGCTGTATACAGTTCTACCATCATAGGAGTATTGCATGGACTCTGTTACTGTTTTAAGTTCTTTTTCCTTACTTTTGATGGTAAAGGTAGTCACAAGTCTGAGCTTCATAAAAGTAGAGCTTTTCCATCACTATTCTATAGTGTACATTTTCCAGTATGTTAAGCATTCAGTATTAGCATTAAGAAAAGTCTGAGGCCCTAACTGGTTTGGCTCAGTGGATAGAGCATCAGCCTGCGGACTGAAGGGTCCCAGGTTCGATTCTGGGCAAGGGCATGTACCTTGGTTGTGAGCACATCCCCAGTAGGGGGTGTGCAGGAGGCAGCTGATTGGTGTTTCCCTCTCATCAATGTTTCTAACTCTCTATTCCTCTCCCTTCCTCTCTGTAAAAAATCAATAAAAATATTTATTTTTTAAAAAGTCTTAGGATCTAGAAATCTTAGTTTTAGTGGGGAAAAAAGACACTATCAAAATAGGAATAATAAGTATATTAGTAAATTAAACATATGTAGCCCTGACTATTAAATAAGTTAACATATAGGAAACAAAATAAATTATACTTTAAAAAATGTACCACGGGTAATGCAAGCTATTGGATTTTAAAATAGAGTTAAATCTCACAGGATTGCCTTAAAGATCCAATGAGATCAAGGAAGTAGATTCTCACTAGATATCTATAACAATAAAAGCATAACATGCTAATTAGACCGGACGACCTGCCGGACAAAGCTGTAGCGGTGGGGGACAAGGCAGAGGCGACCACCACAGCGGCGGGGGCCCGAGCCCCTTGCACAAATTTCGTGCATCAGGGCTCTAGTATTATATAAAGTAATATTATTTAGAAAACATTCTTGCTCAGTAGAGCTAACTCAAACAGTAGGGCTAACTCAAAACTTCTAAGGGTGGAGAGGTAACAGAAAATAATACCTGACAAAAACATCTCAATCTGAAATACTTTATACATTCAAGGAGCAATTAAGAGACAGACAATCTTGGTGAGATAGAAATTAGATTCTATACTGCCTTATCATGCTAATTTAAAATTGGCTGACTTTTGTCTTTTGATTCTCATTCTTTGGTCAAAAAGCAAATGAAAATCTGATAGGAGATCTTTGAACATTCAATTATAAGGAATTTGAAATCATCTTGCTTTACATCCTTTTGGTATTAAAATAAAGATGTTGCCATTCATTTTCTCTGAAAAAGGTTGTTTTTAAGTTAAACATGGTATGTTTTCTTAATACAAGAAATTTTGTGCAAAAACCAGGTGATACATCATCTACCTGCTGATAATTATGAAGTCTTGGAGTACTTTTGTGGTGAAGCTTTCCATATCTTTTAAGATAAGCACAACAGGAGGAGACGGCCATTGGCTAGAAGTCCTCTTTTTCCGTGGCTTTCCTGGGTCTGTCTTCTTTCAAGCCATTGTGAAAAGAAGAAGTTAAAAGGTAAGCCTTACCAACCAAATAATGCTGTACCTGTAGATCTCTCTCCCTTTATATTTCACAGTAACAGTGTGTGTGTTTTTTATTTCTCCCACATATTAAATAGAAACTCATTCCAACATTTATTAGCAGAATCTTTCCATTTGACATGGGAATAATAACCAAGAAGAAAAAGGTCCAGTAAAATCTATAACTCATAAGAAATATTTATATTTTCTGCTATCTGAAAAAATGAACGAAAAGCATAGGGAGAAGAGAACATTCTCTATAAAATTTATTTTTCTGTTGGTAGAATGTCATATTTTCCTTTGCTTTAAGGTAAGAAGTAGTATTTTTAATTAAAATGCATAATGAATAACCCAGCTCCACTACTGTAAAATTTCAAGTTGAAAAGCATCTTAAATTATCATCTAGTCCAATCCCAATCTTTTAAATTGCATACAGTATTTGATTTCTACAAAATTTAAAATTCTGGCCCTAGCCATTGAGGTTCATTTGGTTGGAGTGTTATCCCGTACACTGAAAGGTTGTGGGTTAGATTTCTGGTTAGGGTACATACGTAAGTTGTAGGTTCAATCCTCAGTGGCGGCATACAGGAGGCAACTGATCAATGTTTCTCTCATACATCGATGCTTCTCTCTCTTTTTCTCTTTCTCTCTCTCTCCTTCCCTCTCTCCCTCTCTCCCAACCTCCCATGAAACACATGCAGGAGTCACCCAATTGATGTGTTTCTCTCACATCGATGTTTCTGTTTCTCCCTTTCCCTTCCACTTTCTCTAAAAATCAATGGGAAAATAACCTTAAGTGAGGATTAATAACCACAACAAAAAATCTAACTCTGGATCAAATTAAGATACTTCAGTAAGCATTAGACACAATTTGATACCTACATATTACAAAAGGAAGCTTCACTTATGATGACTTCAGCAAATACATTCATCAAAAAATGTCAATACAGTATTTTTTCCCATACTATCTGGCTACACAGCATCATAAACTAAGGCTAGTTTTATGGTATAGTTACCCATGAATCATCTAAGTTATTCATTTTCACCAGAGACTAACATGGTAGAATGAAATTTCTTTTTATTTATCTGTTTACTGAATACACTTTACTTAGAGAGCATTTACTCCCCAAGAATTCTAAACATGGAACAAATTAAAGTTCTTAAAAATATATATCTATGCCGAAACCGGTTTGGCTCAGTGGATAGAGCGTCGGCCTGCGGACTGAAAGGTCCCAGGTTCGATTCCGGTCAAGGGCATGTATCTGGGTTGCGGGCACATCCCCAGTAGGAGATGTGCAGGAGGCAGCTGATCGATGTTTCTCTCTCATCGATGTTTCTAACTCTCTATCTCTCTCCCTTCCTCTCTGTAAAAAATCAATAAAATATATATAAAAAATATATATATGTATATATATATCTATGGCTGTTTCTCATCGGACTAAGTTGATAACAGATACTGACAGCATGGTTCTATTGCACAAAAGCAAATATTGAGGAACCTATGAGATAATATATTAACATTATAGAAATTGTTACAGAGATAAAATCTGCAGCAGAACCAATTCCAAATGCTGTTTTTGTCACTAGATGACATTCTCCCACAAATAAAATGGCCTTGTAGGAACCTAAACTTCTACCAGGAAATAGGCTGCATACTGATAAAAGAAGCTACTATTAAATTAACAGCTAGTGCTACATAAGCATATCCTTATTAGAACAAAATAGTACTATGCTTAATATAATCCCAAGCCTCTTCAATCATATGCCAATTTCCTGGGAGAAAATTGTCAGTGTGCATTTACCTGTGTGACATTCATATACCAACTGGAAAGAGAATCCATTGAACAATGTGTCTTTTTCTGGATATCTTTTTCCTCCTCTTTGGATTCCACATCTACACGGCAGTCCATCAACTGTGAGAACAGCTTTTGTAAAAAATGTTTCATATCTGCAGTAGATAAAAGGTAAGAAAGTTTATCTCTCCTTAAAGCAAATCTAAAACAACTGAAACTTCCTGATCAGTAGAATGTGTTTTCTATACTTAACATTAATTAGCATAACATTTAACATATTGACTATTAATGTTCATTAGTATTCTCTCAATAGGCCAAAGTTTATTTGTATTGTCTATAATAAAAGTGTTACCTAAATAAATGTATAACTATGAAAACTATTAATTATATTAGGAATAATATATATTTACATTACTTCTGGACAACAAAATGTTTTTAAGGACCCTAAAAAAGACCAAAAGTGTTATTGACATAAGTTATTTTACTGATTATAAATCTTCCTTAAAGTCATTTTTAAAGATGTCCTAAGGGCTTTTACTTCATTACAATCAATTAATGAATATGAAAGTAATATAAAGCACATAAGCACATCAGTCCAAATCTAAGCACATTTTACTCTTAGTGTCTACATCCTTTATGATTTATTTAATGGCTTCAGATACCCAAGGTAAGCTCTGACAATGGACCATTTTTACCAATGTGGTCTTTCAAAATGGAACAGTAAGATGATCTTAGCCTATAAATATGAGCCTATGTAATCTATTCTCTGTTAGGCTAAGTAAGAACTCCCAATTCCTTAATTCTCAGCTCTCTGTCCCAAACATTCTAACTTGAAATGCCTGGACTATTACTGGCAGTGAAGTTCGTATGGCAGGAGTAGGGCTGGAATAAAGTGTCAAAGACTCCTGCAACTTGGGAGGCACTAAACTTCACCCTGCTAAAATATAGTACCATACTCTTCCCACAAATAAAAAGGGATGAAGAAAGCTTGAGAGACACAGAGAGACAGATATGGAGAGATACACAAAGAAAGATGGAGAGAGAAGGGCCAAAGAAATTGGTAACACCTCACCAAGGTTATTAAAGCATTTATACTTTACCTGGACAGTCTCTAGCTTGCAATGAGACTACATATGGAGTGACATTATTCTGAACGGCTTCTGTTAGACTTCTGAATGTAAATTCATGATCTGTTACATTCACACCTATGGGATTATACATCAATATTACACCATCATTTTTATTATTAATAACTTAACAACAAAAGCTATTTAACATGTCAAGTGAATTGCTAAGTAAAAGTATTTTTAAATGATTAATAAAATAACACACTGCATAAATGAAGAGATCTCCAGTAATACTAGATATCTAGAGGCACACACTATACTTATTTGTTAGGAAAGATATTTAGCACAATTTCTCTTTAAAAAAAAAATTACTGGGGATGTGTAGTTGACCTTGAAAACATCTTAAGAACATCTTGAAAACATTTCATTTCTTTGTCACATTCATTAAGAGCTCTTTAAAATAATTACTCAAAAATAAAGACTATGGATTCCAGTCTTACTGTGACCCTCAGTTAACAGCTGAGGAGAATCCAATCAGTAATATTATTTATGATCACAGTAGTAAATATAATAGGTAAAGTGTACACTAAACTAATTTCTGAGGAAAGAGTCTAAAACCAAATTATATTATAGTTTTTGGTCCTTTAGGTATTTACTAAATTCCGATTCTCACTTCCACACATCAGAATTTTAGTGCTCTTCATGCAGTTATCAGAATTGAGTGAAAACTTCCCACTACTTTGGAAAAAATTCTATTAACTGGTAACTTCCCTAAGGCCCCAATCTGTGCTTTCTAGAAAGAGCGTTGGCACTTCGGCGGATGCCAGAAGCAGACATCCTGAAACTACTTGAGGCTTGCTACTATAAACCTTCAACTGCTTGCAAGAAAGGTTCAGAATCATCCAGACCACCAATAGTCAACATTTTTTTCCTAGGAGAGGCAACACACAAAAATGTTGGCAGGATATTTTTAAACAGACATACACTAAAAGAAATAAATAGACATATACCTTACGGAAAGTAGAAACTGTGCAATGTGCTTAAGTAACTTTGAGTACAGATTTTTTTAAAGTGTCAGAATGATATTCCTAGCATGCATTACGGTCTAAGATTATGATACTACATCTCTGAACAAATTTAGGAGTTTAGTAAAGCAGTAAAGCACTGGCTTATCTTGTCTGACTGACTTTGTAAGCTATTTAACACTATGTTCCTTAAGATAACGCACTTGTCTATTGGAAACAAGATAATCAGCCTCTGTAACTGGAAAAATGTTCTCCTCAAACTACTGACTTTCAAACACATGATTTCCATTAGCTTCTCTTCTCCTTTTGGCACGGGGCAGAGAAGGGATTTAAACAGTGCTCTCACAACAACCTATCAGGCCATCCCTCTTGATCGTGTTTCTCCCACTTCAATTACTGTAACATGGCAATAGAGAAAGAAGGCACCCAACAAACAGTACAAGCCAGCCATCACTGGGCTTCAGTTTCTCATCCATAATGGAAAGGGTTTTCAAATTAATTGGCAGGTTGCACTGAAAAGCTGATCCACAGCATTTTAAAATCATTCCACAAAGTCTTATTACTCAGAGTGGTCCTGGGATCAGCAGTGTTGGCATCAGATAGAGGCGTATTAGAAATGCAGCGTTTTAGGCCCTGCCCCAGGCTTATTAGTGAAAATTTTCATTTACTAAGATCCCCTAGAAGTTATTTTTAGGTACATGAAAGTTTGAAAAGTACTGCCCTGAATATCAGGAAGATAATTAACAGTATTAGGCAGTACGTTTTAAACGAAATGAAAAAAAAAACTGCTAATATTTCAAAGAAAATTTTTCCATTACCTGCAAGACAGATATTTGGTTAAAATTGCATGTTAATGATAGAAATTTAAGTAACTAAGAAATGTACAACCTGTAGTCTGAAAGCAGTTTATATATAATTCATCCAAAATTCTTTTAAACAATTACTACTAATACAATATTATGAAACAAATATTTAAAAAACTACAAATAAGGAAAAAAATTAGTCATAGAATAACTGCACTGAAGAAATGATAAAAAGATATAAAAATAAAATCTTTTAATATACTGCTGGTTTCTTTATTAGCAAATTCAAATCTCATCTACTTTCATAATATAACTAAAGAAGAGAAGAGTAACATATATATTTCCCCTTCATTTTTTCAGACAGAAAGTTGATGAGGGTACTAGCTAACTCAAATCAATTTCTTCTAATTTATAGATTCATGATCAATATAAAGAACTTTGATTGGTTTTGAAATTATGCCTAACAAAATATGATTGTTTTAATTCTGTAAATGAGAGCGACAAACAGGTTTACCAGAACAGATTATTCCCCACTATTCTCAAAAACAGAGCCACCAATTTTAAAAAACAAACAAATCTGTACATACCTAAAATAAGAGCAGCAGTTGGAATTTCTCTTAGTTTTATTTGACAGCCCCAGTCTCTTGAATTCTTCTGGAATCCAGAATGAGACTTTTGTAGAAATTTGATTAGGCTGTCAAACAGGTTTTTATTTAATTCCTCTTGCATTTGCTACACAGAACACACAAAATTTTATGGATTATAATTAGCAATAATCTGATGTGTCTTTCAAAATTTGGGAAAGAAAACTGTCATGAATTCAATTCCAAAGATTACATGTAAAATTACAATCATGATGAAAAAAAAATGTTTTTCTTTAAATCTCCAATGATTAGAGCTTTGGATCCCCTCATTAAAGAGACTCATTTAATCATTCAACAAACACTGATTAACCACCTTACAAATGAAAGATACAGTAGGTCCTCGGGTTATGTTGGAGATCCCTTCCTACGGCACGATGTAACGCGATTTTCGCAGTAAGTGGGAACCCACCTGAATAAGCGCCTATGTCACTCACATGGAGCACATACACAGCAGTAATGAAGTGAAACAGTAAAAAAAATTAAAAGAAAGATAACAATTCCTGACCTTTACTTGTGGTAAATAAATAATAAAAAAAACATAAAGCACATATGTACATACGTCGAAATGACGGAACTTTTTTTTTTTTAATAAATAAATGGGAGATGGTGACGTAACCACGAAACTACGTACGTGAGTCCAACGTAACCCGAGGACTGTCTGTAGTCCCTACCCTAAAATGTAAAGAAATTGAGCAAGAACACTTAAAATGAAAATAATGTTGTGTAGAGTGCTATGACAATATAGGAATAAAGAGTAGGACCATCCAACTTAAGCTGAGGAGGTGATATATCTGAGCCAAAGCATTACAGCAGGTGATGGAGTTGGTGATGGTAGGTAAAGGAAATTTGAATGAATAAATAATAAAGGAGGCAAGGAAGGAAGAAAGTACCAAACAACTGAAGAGTCACAGATATAGCTAAGCATAAAGAACATGAAAAGTGGTAGGGAATGAGACTGGACAAATAAGCAAAGGGCTAGACCAAGAAAAAATATATTTGATGTTAAAGAGTTTGGATTTTATCATGTAGGGAGAACCACTGAAGACATTTGAAGTAGAGATATGATTAAATCGGGAGTAGGAAGGGTTAATCTGACAGCACTGTGAAGGCCAGTTGGCCCCAGAGTTGGAAAACCCCTGTTGCAGGACCTAAGACTGTATCTGCATGAAAGAAGGACTTTTCTAATTTGGCCAACAGTGCCATAGGGACTAGTGGCAGATCTGAAGGATTTTACACTAGAGTCAGTTAGGAGGATATCATGACAATCAGGTAAAAAAAAAGGGGACCTAAACTGGAAACCACAAACTCAAATATCTTCAAGGGTCACATGGAATACATGCATGAGCAAAGCCACTAGGTGTAAAGCAATAAAGTGTGGCGGGAAACAGTAATAAACTGAAAAGCACATAACCGTCCGAAAGGCATTAAAAAAAAATAATAAGACTGGTGCAGCCACCTTGGAGAATAGTATGGAGTTTCCTCAAAAAACTAAAAATGGCCCTAACCAGTTTGGCTCAGTGGCTAGAGCGTCGGCCTGTAGACTGAAGGGTCCCAGGTTCGATTCCGGTCAAGGGCATGTACCTTGGTTTCGGGCACATCCCCAGTGGGGGAGTGTGCAGGAGGCAGCTGACCAATGTTTCTCTCTCATCCATGTTTCTGACTCTCTATCCCTCTCCCTTCCTCTCTATAAAAAATCAATAAAATATTTTTAAAAAATGGAACTCCCATTTGACCCAGTGATTCCACTTCTAGGAATATATCCCAAGAAACTAGAAACACCAATCAGAAAGGATATATGCACCCCTATGTTCAGAGTGGCACAATTTACCATAGCTAAGATTTGGAAAGAGCCTAAGTGCCCATCAGCAGATGAGTGGATTAAAAAACTGTGGTCCATCTACACAATGGAATACTATGCTGCGGTAAAAAAGAAGGAATTCTTACCATTTGCAACAGCATAGATGGAACTGGAGAGCATTATGCTAAGCAAAATAAGCCAGTCAGAGAAAGCACATGATCTCACTCATTTATGGAATATAAGAAACAACATAAACTGATGAATAAAAACAGATCCAGAGACAGAGAAGCATCGCTCAGACCGTCAAACCTCAAAGGAAAGGTAGGGGAGGGAAGGGGTAAGGGGGAGAGATCAACCAAAGGACTTGTATGCATGCATATAAGCATAACCAATAGACACAGACACCAGGGGGGTGAGGGCATGAGTGTGGGAGGGTGTTGGGGGGGGGAGAGGCAATAGGGTGATAGGATACATATGTAATACCTTAATTAATAAAGAAAAAAAATACAACACTGTGTTGGTCAAAAAAAATTCTGTTAGCTCTAGAACAATGAATCTGCTATAGTGGAGAAATTTTTCAGAGCTGGAATATAAAGAACATGGTAACTGGATATAGGATGAGAGAGTGAAGTATTTAGAAATAGCTTGATTTCTTATTTGTGTAACTGAATGGATAATTTGGACAGTGCCAGCATTTCAAAGCTGTGAGGATGTATAAAGAGCCCCTTGCCTTAGCAACTATCATTATAAACATAAGTTCCAGTACCTGAAGCTATGCTTAATACTTGGAACATGAGGGTTTTGTTTTTTTTAGGATATACAGATTGTGCTTAACCAGTATTACCAACATTTCATCAATCGTCTTATGAACTGGTGGAAAAGAAGATGAGAAACAACAAATATGAGATTTACGGTATTAGAGAAATGTTATTAAAAAAAGTATTCACCTCAGTTTCAGATTTCATCTGCTGCCATATCATCTGATAAGTTTCAAATCGAAGCTTACTGTCCTCAGACTCATTTTTCCCTTCATTAAAATACTCCTCTGAAAACACAGAAATAAGTTAATGTCTTTTTTATATAATATGTGTGTGTGTGTGTGTGTGTGTGTGTGTATATATATATATATGTATATATATATTTGGGGATAGGTAACATCTTTTATATTTAATTTTATTTATACATCTTAAATTCTTACTGTAAGTATTGTAAGGTTAAATATCTTAATTTTTTTTGTTTTTTTTATTTAATTTTTATAATGTATTTCTATCATTTACTTCTGAACTTCTAAGTTTTTATTTAATGGTTTTGATTTGAAATGTATACATTCAATATTAATATATTCTCATTATTTACTCTTATTCTAAGGCTGTATATACTTTGTTTTATATATCTGTTTTGAGTTCTCCTTTATTAAATGATTCTTACTACTACTATCCTTGTTCATTTGTTCAACTGAGACAGTTTTAGCCCAGACTTATATTTATTCTGTCTGCATTATGTTATATATTTTTGGAATGTTTTCCTCCCAATGGTTGGCCATTTATCAAAATACCATTTGCTGTAGTGGTTTTCAAACTTTTAAAACCATGATCCACATTAAGGAATACATCTTACATCATAATCCAACACACACACATATAATAGAAACCCAAACAAAGTCCCACAAAACAATACTTACCATGTGATACCAAATGTTTCCTATTCTGTTTTTTAAAACTCTCAACACCCACTAAATTGACTTCATGACTCACACTTGGATTATATGTAAAAATTTTCAGTTTGAAAAACAATTCCTTTCTTCTGATTTGGGATGTCCTTATCATCTAAATGCTTATAAATACATTTGGAACTATTTTTGAACTTTTTCTTTTGTTCTACTGAATCTAACCATACCAGTCCTGAACTATTTTAATTATTGTAGCTTTGTAGTTCATTCTAATATTGAATAAATTCAGGTCTTCTTCCCATCACCACAAAACATCATCATTCTTTTTCAAAAAAATTTAAGCCATTCTTTCAAACTAATTTTGTCATTTCTAAAAAATAATTACACTGGTATTTTGACTGGATAAAAGAAAATCTATAGATTGATTTGGGGAGAAAATATATTAAAAATTCATGTCCAAAAATACTACAGGTCTCTTCTTTTAATCAATATTTTGCATTCCTTAAATCTTGTTCACTACTAGGTATTTTATTGTAATAGCTAGAACTTTCATGATATTACATAATTGTGAAAGTACACATTTTGTTCTTGACTTCACTGAAATGCTGCTAGAATTCCACCATCAAATTTAAATGTTAACTGAGAGTTTGGAATACAAATTCTCTTTCATATTAAGGAACTTTCCTCCTAATCATAGTTGACTAAGTTTGGGGCAAATACTGATTTTTTAAAAATTTTATCAAAAGGCTTAGAATATACTGAAGTCATCATATGGTAAAATAATAGACAAGGTTATAGTATAAAAATGCAAACAAAAAAAAAGCAAGGGGATATACTAGTACTAAGAGACAAAGCAGAATAATAAGTTAGCCTTAAACAGAATGAAAATAGTCATCTTTGAAAATCAGTAAAATCATATAAAATGTTAAAATGGCAAATCAAGACATGAATTTTTTTTAATGTGTTGAATAACGCTGCATCAAAATAGATAACAAAAAAACTTCCAGAAATTGGAAAACAAGAGCAGTAGGACACGTTAACCTGTTACCAAGACTTCTCTCAGTCATTTATCAATCTAGTAGGAGCTACAGAATAAATACCAGCTTTCAATGCTGACAGGTTCCCTCCTGCTCCTACTCATAGCCCTCCCAACCTCTCTCTCCACAGAATACTGAGGAGAGTTACCAATCTTTTCTTAGACAGATGGTGGGCACAATGCAAAACATCTTCCTACTTATTCAGGCAATCTTGTTTCAAGAACGGAAGCCATTGAAGGCAAGTGCTAAATTCTGGATATGTTTTCTTCATTTCTGGTCCATCTGTCTTAAAATTAGGGTCAATTCCTCTAAGATTTTCATATTATAACAATATCTGTGGGTCTTAGATCAGCACAATGGGAAAAACCTAAAGTACCTCAAAGTTCATATTATACAATTGTATACATTAGGTTTACTAATACTAAAAACTTTATACAAATCTTAATAAATTATAGCTGAAATTCAATACAAAAAAAGTTCTAAGCAAAAACTCACCTCATATTTTGAAAGTAAAAGTTAGACCATGGATTCGAGAATCAGACAGCTTGGGTTTAAACCCAGCTCTGTCACTTACTAGCAACATCACTGAAAGTTCTTTATGTCTAAGTATCCCCATTTGATATGTCCTAACAAAAGTATGCACTCTCATGACCACCCCCTCAAATCTAGGGAACTATTTTCCTCACTCCAAAAAAGTCCCTATTGCCCTTTGGCAGTCAATACCCCCTCTTTTGCCCCAGAAAAACCACTGAGATTTTTAGGACAATCTCTTTTAAAGATTGGTGACATATCCTTTGAAGGAAATTTACTTTTCAATTTGCCCTTTGTAAGCCATGCTTAGACAAGAAAAGTACTAAATTCAATCAGGGGTAGAAAAGTAACAAATTTGATATTAAGACATCATACCTATTGGCACAGAGATCTTTCTCTTCTTGAAGTTTGGCTTAAACACAAAACAGCCCTATAAAAAGAAATACAAAGCATAAAGTCAAAGTAGCCAAGGAGCAGATAAATCTGTTAACCAAGTATTTTATGGATAAGCAGATTTTTTTAAAAAAATGTGTTTCTTTTCGCCCTAACCGGTTTGGCTCAGCGGATAAAGCATCAGCCTGTGGACTCAAGGGTCCCAGGTTCGATTCCGGTCAAGGGCATGTACCTTGGTTGCGGGCACATCCCCAGTAGGGGGCGTGCAGGAGGCAGCTGATGGATGTTTCTCTCTCATCGATGTTTCTAACTCTCTATCCCTCTCCCCTCCTCTCTGTAAAAAATCAATAAAATATATATTTTTTTTAAAAAAAGGTGTTTCTTTTCTATCTGAGTTACAGAAGGAAAATTCTTAAACAATACAAGGACTATCTATTTCTTTCTCTTCCTTTTCATGGGATGCTCATGATCTTTGATTATGTTCTTTGGGACCTGATCTAAGAGACAGACAAAGAAAATAAACTCTGATGAAATTTAAATGCAGAAAGATTCCATTTTTATAAAACTTAGAGAAGAAAGAACATTAGTAGTATACATTAAAATGAAGATCAAGAAGATATAAAATAGTGATGCTCTCCATCTCAAAATAAGTATTTGTTATTTAATTAAACTCCAACTATAGAACCATGATGGGAAATAGATAATTTGGGCTGTTATTGTTTCACCTTTCTTCATCTGATAAATACATATTCATTTATCTATTACAGATCAACTCAAACTCAGCCACTCTAGTTAGAATTATTCCTTCTCCTAAGATCTCATAGTACTTGAATATCTTTATTTTTAATCACTTTCACTCTGCATCATAGTTATTTAGGGTCTGTCTCCCTAAATAGTTTCTGAGTGTCTTCAGAGCAGATTGCATTTAGTGCATGATCATTTTCCCAATGTTTAGGACAGTGTTAACATATACACTAGGCAATCAGTATATAGAAATGCTTGCCAAGTAATATCCCTGGTAATTTCCTAGCTACATTTAATTTCACGTTATTATTTGATTAGTGATATATAGTCCCCAAGCTACTGGTCCTATGTTTATTCTCACAATCCTAAAGCATGGACAGCTTCTTAAGATTGCCATTTCTGTGGAAAATGAAAAAGTAAAAAAAAATATATAGGGTGTCTCCAAAAAATGTATATATACTTTAACAGCTGATAACTCAATTTTGAAAATGAACTGTATGTTAATAAACACTGACTTTACAATCATTCAAAGTGTGTATATCTTTTTGGGGGGGACACCTGTGTTTCTAGAAAAAGTCATCTCAGGATATTTGCACTGCTAAAGACAGCAGTGTAAATATAAAGTGGCCATTTGGATTACAGGATCCAAAGTGAGAACTTTGCCCTATATGCTCTTGTATCTGCAGCTAATGGAACTATTTAAAATACACATACATGTTTAGAAAAATCATGTGGTACCACGACAAGCTTGTTATTACCTCCTTTCTATATCTATCTGCAATTCAGTAAAGGAAAAGGAGATTTGAAGGAGTGAAATATAGTGTCAAGAAGGAATCCTGATGTATGGCAGTGGTAGTACTACGGTTAACCACTTTGAACTCCTGATCAAGGATGGTGTTTGAGATGAAGGAAGAAGTCTAGGAGGACAGCCGACAGCAAGAAAATACGACAAAGAAAGAGAAGTTTCGATAGGTTAGGGAAAAATAGTCTAAAGATTCTTATTCATGTAAGGTTCCCTTCATAATCATCTCAATACAAGTATTTCTGTTATAATGCCGTAGGTGCTTTCCTGGGGGGAGGGGGGGAATCTCACAATTCTGCAAGATATACAAAAATAAGAGGCTTGCCCTGGCTGGGTGGCTCTATTAGTTAGAGCGTGCTCCCATACACCAAAAGGTTGCAGGTTCAATTCCTGGTCAGGGCACATACTTAGGTTATGGGTTTGATTCCCCCATCAGGGTGGGTATGGGAGGCAACCAATTAATGTCTCTCTCTCACATTGATGTTTCTTTCACTTTCACACCCTTCCTTTCTCTAAGAATTAATAAAAACATATTCTCGGGTGGGGATTAAAAAAATAATACAAGGCTTATGCAACAAAAGGGATTAGAAGACAGACCATCCAAAATCTATGGAACTTTACAACCAGGGCAAAACAAAAACAGTACCAATCGTAATAAAATTTTTTAAATACTAGCAGCTAAATCTCTTCTAGCTTGCACCTAGCAACACAGTTAGTCCTTTGTAAACTTAACCCTAAGCTTGTAGTTCCTCCTTGATATATACTCTTGGAAGGCACTGTCCTCATAATTTTATAATTTTAATCAACATTAAAAATTAGATCAATGGTGTAGCCTTCTTCATTAATCTGGTTTTACACAGAGAGAAATGTCTTTGTAGCTTCTTCATCTGCATTCTCAGCTTTACCAGACAGCTTTAACTTAAGGAGCTCTCAGTTGCACTCATATTACTAAAGGTCTTACTTGACCGTCTATAGCAGTGCTATCCAATAGGGCTTCCAGTAACGAGGGAAATATCAAAATCTGCACTAAGATGTAGTCATATTAGTGAGACTGAGGAACTAAACTTTTTGTTTTGTTTTTTAATATATTTTATTGATTTTTTCACAGAGAGGAAGGGAGAAGGATAGAAACATCGATGAGAGAGAAACATCGATCAGCTGCCTCCTGCACACCCCCTACTGGGGATGTGCCTGCAACCAAGGTACATGCCCTTGACCGAAATCGAACCTGGGACCCTTCAGTCCGCAGGCCCATGCTCTATCCACCGAGCCAACCAGTTAGGGCAGGAACTAAACTTTTAAGTTTACTTTATTTTCATTTAAATACCCACATGTGGCTAATGGCTACCGCACTGAACAATAGAGCTCTAAAATTTTTCTTACCAACTATACCATGTCTTGCAATCCCTGGCCATCTAAGCAGCCAGTATGAGATCTGTATGACCTCCTCACACACACACACCCGTATACTACTTTTCATAAGGCTCCCTTTTCTCTTTCAACTCTCTAATTATACAGATGTTTCAACTCCTTTATTTAATATGCCATTTTATTTCTATCTTCTGGACCAAAGAACATATTCTCTTTGCGAACACCCTCCACCCCCCACCCACTCCACAATCCTTTACCTAACTTCTCACTTTTCAGGTCTCAGCTCAAATGTCTTTCTCCAAAGGCCTTCCCTGACCTCGGGCAATCTAGGTTCTTCTAGCTCTTCTGCTCTCCCGCTTAGAACTTTCTTTCTTGCTCACATTTATCACAGTTTGTGCTCAGTTTATCCGTGTTTAATGTGTTTCTGCAGTGCAAACACTGAGTCTATTTTGTTAACCCCTGTATCCTGGTACCGCATGGAGTGTTTGGCACAATAAACATTTGAGAAGGAAAGAGAGAGGACAGGTGACTGGGGCACATCCTCCGGACAGTCGACCTCCACAAACCAGAATTTAAAAATCCTCCTAGCCAAAACACTAAGGCAGGCGGGCGGGCGTCTTCGCTCCCCAAAGTTGGCCTGAACCGGACCGGGAGCCAAGATCTCAGCTCCGACCGCCACCTTCCCCTGAAGTCGGTACACCGAGGCCCAGGTAACCTCCGCTCCGTGCCTTCCCCGAAAGGGGATGAGGTTGCGGCGGAGTCTCAGTGGCCGCCCGCCCCCGCGTACCTTGGACACCGAGGAGGTGGCCATGGTCCCAGCGGCAGAATGGCATCCAGAAACTCGGGATTTCCCGCGCTCCTTCGCGGCAGCAGGGCAGAGGTTAGTGACGAGCCACTGGGCTTCTTGATTGGCTGGCATCACCCTCGAGGCGGGCTTCCGGCGCGTGGAGGCGGGGCTTCAGAGGAGGCGGGGCGTGGCTCCGTCTGGAACCTCGGGGACGCACTACGTGGAAGTAGACATGGCGTGCGGCTTCCGCAGGTCCATCGCCTGTCAGGTACGGTCCCAGGAACGGAGCCCCGCGCCCCCGAAGCCGCCTCACCGCGGTGGGCCAGTCTTCAGTCAGCGGACGGGCGGGTTCTGAGGAAACCCCGTTTGTTGCTGCCGCTTCCTCACCGTCCTCTGGAGATGCCTCCGCTGCGGAGGCAAACCCAGTGGAGGGTCGGGCGTGCGGCTCAGACCAGCCTTCAGGGTGAAAAGTGAACTTGGAGAGGCACGCGCGGCTTCCCTCACGCCTTCCCACCCTACAGCTTTGTACGCCTTATCTGGGTGGGGAAGTCACGGGGCCATGATTAGACCCCACAGAAATGAACGTGGACCTAGTGAAATCAGGAGGCTTTGGCTAGAATGAAAGATACAGGCTTATTCAAGGGTCTTAGGGTTTGTAAACCGGAAATATAGCCGTGCAGTACCCGGAGTGTTCTGAAGGAAGGGAAACTGAGGGTTCTTAGAGTAAAAAGGAAGTTCTGGGGAAATAGTCCTGCCTTCTTGCCCTCTGAATCCCTAGGTGGTAATTAGTCCTGATTGTTAACTGGGAGGGCAACTGGTGTCTCCCTAAGCAGTGGTTCTCAACCTTGGCTGCAGACTGCGGTCACCCGAGGACCCTTAAAAAATACCCAAGCCCAGGCCCCCCGCGTCGGGCGGGTCTTGAAACTCTATCAGGTGATGTTGATGTTCATCCAGGATTGATAACTGCTAACCAAGGACGGCCAGGAGGCAGAAAGGTATAGTGTGCAGTGGTCCCCACACTTCCCTGCACATTACAATCAACACAAGAACTTACTAACATCCTGTTGCTCACACCCCATCCTGTGCTAGTTAAATGAGAATGTTTGCATCAGTGTTTTCTAAAGATCCCTGGGTCATTCCAATGTGCAGCCAAGGTGGGAGCCATTGGTATAGTGATTAAGAACACTGACCATGAGGACATGTGGGTTTAAATCCCGCTTCTCTGGTAGGTATGTGAGTTCTCTGTCCCTCATTTGTAAAGTCTGGAAAGTTATTTAGCTACTTTATAGGATTGTCATTAGGATTTAATGAATCAATCCATATTTAGTACTTGGGGGTTGGGTTTGGTACATTGTATACACTCAATAAATATTAAATACTCTGTTAAATTAGAATGCTGAGGACAGTAGTATTTTGAATCCCCTTGCTACACTTCTGATATGGGAATCTAGTTACACATTACTCTCAGTGAATGCTTTAGTCCCACATGAGGTTAGGTCACCAGAAAGCTACGTATCTGAACCCTAATTAATTTTCAGTGAAAATTCCTTAGCAGTACTTAAAGTCAGGAAAAAAGGAAGGAAGATAGAAAAACTGGGTAGATATGCTTTTTATAAAAATTGCAATGAGTTTTTATTTTTAGGTTTGTTTGCTTCTTTAAAAGTTTTATGATGAAAAATGTCCAACTACTAAAAGTGTAATAGTGTTAGGATTCCCCATGTATGCATAACTGAAATATTGTTTTAAATAAGTATTAAACATAGTTTTGCTTGAATTTAATGAAAGAAAAAGAAACCAAAGTGCAATGCAAAGAATTATTGATGTATTTTCTACATGAGTCCTCTGCAGTTAAGAGATTATGCAGAACAATACAATTTGGAATGTTTCTTTAAAATCTTCATGTTTCATATTTAGACAATATCAACCCCTGGCGTGAGAGACGAGGACATTAGAACTCTTATAGTTGGCATAACTTTCCTCTACCATTCCTAATTTGTTTGGGTAACTTTCTCATTCATTTGTAACCCTCATAGTCTGTTTATTAGCCATATATGCACAACTTGTCTGCTGTTCACTTTATATTGATTTAGATAAGATGCTTATTACCAGTACTTTTCCTGGTTACATGGCTTAATTGGCCGGATTTCTTTATAAATAGATTTTTCAAGAAGGGCTCATGGTGCTTTATTTTTTTCAAACATTACTTAAAAAAAAAGAAATTATGACTTCTCAGATAAAATAATCTTGGAGGTTTAATTATTAAAAAATTAGCATGTTTAGAAATATCAAAATAGATTTGGAAATATAAAAAATCTTCATTTTAGAAATAAAGCAATAACAACATTATTTAGTTCTGATTTTGAATTTTCCAAAGACTTACACCATATATACAAATGCATACATCAATCCAATGTTATTTTTTTAATTTCCAATTTTCATATGTTGGCAACTAAATCAAACTAAAAACAACTGAGCAAGTGAAACAAACATGCCCGTCTGCAATTTTTCTAGTGGATGAATTTAGTCCTATATAATATCATTGCTAAATTATTTGCTTTAACCATGTGATCAGGCAACATGAATACAAAGTAACGTTCTTCTTTTCATCTCTAGATTTTTGATTGGATGCTTTATCTTTTGAAATTTAGTAACTTAGCCTGATGTTTCTCTGTTAAATTTTCTGTGTTATATTTTCCTGACATAGTAATTTACTTTGATCTGTGGATTCAGTTTGTTTCTTTTTTTTAATGAAATATTTAATCATGGAGAAAAAAATAGATAATATTCATGTACCCATTACTAATTGGGATGCATTCATAGGTTGTAAATGACATGCACAGATATGGTAAAACAAAACCTCATATGTGAGGAAAGAGAATTTGCAACCAGGGATGAGTAGCCAGGAGATTTTAATATTTACAATAATTTATTTTTCAGTTATTAATTTTATTATTATTTTTTAAAATCCTTACCTGAGGATATTTTTCCATTGATTTTTAGAGAGAGTGGAAGAGAGGGAAAGACAGAAATATCAATGTGAAAGAAACACATCCATTGGTTGACTCCTGCTTGTGCCAGACCAGGGCCCTAGCCAGGGAGGAGCCTGCAACCGAGGTACATGCCCTTGACGGGAATGGAACCCAGGACCCTTCAGTCTGCAGGCCAACACTCTATCCACTGAGCCAAACCAGCTAGGGCCAGTTATTAAATTTTATATAAGTGATAATCAAACTGTAATTATCCTTCTGCAACTTGGGTTTTTGTTTGTTTGCCTCAATTTTTAAAAAATATTTATAAAGATTATGGAGGTTTAATTCTTTCATTTTACTGCAGAATGGTGTGCCATGCCCATAATATACCACAATATAGATTTGGTTCTTTATTTCAGGGACGTTTTTCCTGTTATTGAATATTATGCCCTATTATCTCCCATCACTTGGTCACACCTGTGATTCCAGCTGCCACTTTTGTGTGAACAGTTTCACATGTGTTCCCATTCCTTATTGCTAACAGCATCCTATTCTGTTTTTGAAAGCCTGCTAATCCCAGCCTATGGGCTCAAATGTGGTGGAGTTAATGTCAAGGACAGCCCTTCAACCAATGGGGATGGAGGCTCCTGCTTCCTATTTTTGGATGGGCATCGTGTATGCTTCTTAGGAGGTAGTACGTAATGGAAATTAAGGCTCCATTGCCTATAGTAGTGGCCTTGATAGCACACTCTTATATTTGCTTTTTCTCCTCTTTTACTCTCCTTCCATCACTTCTGCCCTCAGGGTTCACCTCCCAAATAAACTATCTGCATACAATCCTTTTCTCAGGCCCTGCTTTTGGGGAAGCCAAGATATATATCAACAAATACTTTAAAATTTTCTTGGGTTTTGTTTATTCATTTCTATGGCTTCTGATAAGGGAGACCAAGTTAATATCTTTCTTTGGCTATCACTTTTTGAAGAGTGGCTTTGAGCTTTGTCTCTATCCTTATGTCTTTGCTAATGGAGAACCAGTGTACCTATCATCCTGTCCTCTTGCTTCTACCCTTTTTATATTTTAGGGACATCAAATATACTAAGGATGGATTATCTTTATGCATTTTTTATATTGCTCTGATTGCTTTAATTACAAATCTTGAAGCACTTATGAATAATGTTTTTGTATTTATTAGGCTATATTTTTCTTTCAGACAAGAGTTCTTTGATCCCCTATACCACATTCCTTCTCTTCTGTATTTTTCTTTTCCTCCCTCTCTTCTCCCCTTCACTTCTCTCTCAGTTTGTTTGCCTATTTGTGATGCTTATTCTTTCTCATCTTGCTGAGGCTTGTCACCTCTGCCCAAACTCTGTATTTGTTCCTGCATTGTGTGGATGACTTCTTCACTCTCCATTTCAGATTTGTTCTTGGCTCACCTCACTTTCGTGGTTACAAAAATATAAACTCCACAGCTCTCCATTCCCCTTTTGTCTCTCCAGTAGGTCGTGATGACTTGTACACATATTTCTGAACTCTGACTTAACATATTAGATTTCTACTAGGTAGCCCTGATACTTTCTATCTTCCCACAAAAGTTCCTTCTCTGATTCTTTCTACCCATGCAACACCAAATCAAGATTTACTTCCTGTACTTGGGGAATGTGTTGTGTTTTCACTGGGAGGCTCCTCAGTGTGCTGTCCTAGAATCTGCACTTAGGCTGGAAAGTGCTGAAATTCACTTCTGTTTTACTCTTCCCGAAACTCTGTAGCATCACCTATTCATCAGTGAGAAAAAAATAATGGAATTCATTCCATTTTTTCTCTCTCCAGATTTGGGGTATTAATGAGAATTGTTAATTCATGTTAGGAGCCTTGCCAAACAGGCTGCATCCATTCCTCTTCAAAATCTATATCTTTCCTTGGCTATTACTTTTAAGTGTATATCTTTGGACTGTGCCTATCTGTTGTATTTGGTAATGGAGAACCGGATAACCTACATACTTATTACGTACCTTCCTTCCTTCCTCTTCTCCCTCCTTTTCATTTTAATTTGAAAATAGGTGGGAATTGGGAGGTGGGAGATTATATACAGAAGCCTTCATTCCACTACTTTATCCCAGTATTTCTTTTAGGGTTTTGTTTTGTTTTTAA